CCTAAATTACAGACTTTTTCGTTTATGGGGGCAAGTTTATTTCCTAATTGTGTAGAGACTAGAAGGGAATTAATTGGGCAAGTCCTTTAATTTAAAATATTATTACTGGTCTTGTTCTCTGATGAATCGAACATTAGGTATTTTAATACTACTAATGGAACATAATGGCTACTTGTCGAAAGTAAAGATAATTATTTCAGGAACACAAAACTAACCTTGTCAGATAATTGCCTGTTGAAATCTGATGCTGTGCAACAAATGGAGGATTATTAACAACATACTCCCGTGTTCATCTGTTATATCATTAAATCCTGTATGTTACATTGGCAGTGTTATCATTGCATTAAAAGCATCTCCCTCTTCTTGGAGATGCATGTCAGTTCTGGATTAAAGGTTTTGATTGCCTGGGACTATTCTGTTCTAAATAACTTTTGTTGTCCTCCAAAATACTGAGATGTTCTGAGTAAGTCTTGTCAGATGTGGGTTATATAGATGTACACCACTTGCTGAATGAAAAACAACCATAATTTCCATTTTGCTGGGTTTTTTTTCCTTTTTTCTTTTTTAAAAAAGCAAACTGGTCCTATTGTTTTTAAAAGCATATTCATCCAGCAGGCACCTTGAGATCTGTGAAGATTTTCATTTACTGGACAAAAGTGTACTAACATGAACTAGTGACATGAAGTTTGAAGTTAACAGACGCTCAAGCTCAAGAGCCAGTTTTCAATTGTATCAGTAATGAAACCCAGAATAACTTTAGTGAGTAATGTTATATTTCAGCCATTTGAATTTTTTAAATCAAGAGTAAACTTTTTGTTCAAATGCATAGTGTAACCTAAATCAAGCAGTGGTCATTCAAGCTTTGAAGTTTGATTATGAACTCCATGAGACATCTGCTAGTTCAAAACTATTTGTTTGAAGTCTATAGTTGTACCTTGAAAGATGGTTACAGACATTGTTGGGAGAATGCCTTCTAAATCTAATAAAATAAATAAATCTAATAAAAAAATAATAAATCTAATAAAAATTTTCTGCTCCTTCATTTTGTGACTAAAATGTTAAGTTGTATTTTTTGTCATCAAGGTTGATTCACTTTAACAGTTTTGTGAAGAGTCGTCTTCAAATGCTACTCAAGACGATAGTGGCAAGCATAAAAAGCACTAAAAACATCTAAAGTTTTGTAGAGTAATTTGTGTTCAGAAAAAATCAATTTGTATCAAAAAAGGCATTATTTACCTAATCATTCATGACTGGAAAAAAGCCACATGAAAAATTGCCTTATTTCAAAAGGCAATCATGAAGGCTTCAAAGTACATATAATCTCATTTCTCTGCTCTCATTTTACCTGCTTTCTCTCCCTGAACTGGAAAACTGCTGTCATAACTGTATCTATTTCCTGTAGGAGCTGTTAGTTAGTAGCATTACATCCGCTTAAACGTGATCACTTTTCTCTTTGGTGTGTTACTGATATGCTATTATTATCCCATAATATTGCTCATCCATCAGAGCTTGCCATGTTTCCTGTGCTGATTGTAGTATGGAGAGCTGAAGTGTCCTCTAAAAAATGTTTAGAGATGCCAGAATATTTTAATAGAGATGCCAGAATATTTTAATGATTCTGTGGTGGTACAGAGCACAACCTTTTTGTGATGCATTTCAAGCTTGTAAAGCAAAATTTTTCTGTGCTTTTAATTCCTAAGCAAATGCACTTTAACCATCAGTTTTGAATGTAACCATCTCAATTCCTCTTTATTTAAATGGCAGATTCATTAAAAACTCCATCTGGCTTCCATAGGAAGCTTGCACAAGTCCTTGGAAATGTTTTGGTTTTTTTTTTTCAGGACACAAGGAACTGTGGCCAGGATTAGAACCTCTTCATCCTGCAGCATACTTGCCAGATGGCAAATTTATTGAATCTGGTTTTAACTCACTAGGGCTTAAAGGAATGAACACACCTCTGAGAAGTGGGTGCTACATTTCTACTTCAAAGCTCTCCCTTGAAATTAGCCCCCAGAGATTTATATGCACAGAGAGATTGTGACCTGAGCAGTCTGTTGCATATCTCTCATCTCTGTCAGTGCTGAGTCAAAGTGACACAAACTGCTTTACAAAATCCCAGTAATTTCACAACACTGGGTGAATCTTGCTACATTGCTTAATCAAATTATATATATATATATATATATATATATATATATATATATATATATAATTTGCAGTGTTGTAAAATCTCTTCGCTTCAAATACTTGTTTTCTAAGTAAAATATGAAAATTTGACATTTGAAATTTGACATATTTGCTGGTGTCATTTAAAACTATCTGTGGGTATTGTTCTCAGTATGGAAGTCTGCTCTGTACTAAAATACTTTCAGTGGATAGAATTTAGTTTTAATCAGTTTTAGGTTTGAATTGTGTAGAAAAAGAGCACGTTTATTTAAATCTCTTACAGCAGCTTTTTCTAATTTCTTGCAGTGGCTTTGAAACTTGTGAAATACATTTCCAACTAATTAGTGTGTAAGTGCTAAATTATTCTGTTAAGGAATCCCCCTCTCTACAAAATACAAAGCATTGTTTTGCATTTGTATTATTTACAGAGAAATCAGACTTTTAATATTACAGGATTTTTTCTCTTTCTTTTTGACAGTGGAGATGACTCTTCCTGTGAACTGATGCCAAAGAACTTCAGTCTGCAGCATCAATATTAGCCTTTTCTTTCAAATGCAGAGCAGTGGTGATGCTGACTCTGCTGAGATGTAGTTGTGCCAGGTTTCAGGCATTTAAGTGGCCATGTCTGCCATAATTATTTATGTGCTTGGTTGTACCTGTGTGCAGTGTGAGCCCTCATTTCTAGAGCAAAGCATATAAAGATTACCAGACCTGTTTAATATAAGGAAGCAAATAATTGCAACTCAAAATGCTCTTATTTTTCTCCCTTTCCACTTCCCATGTTACACACTGATATTGTTTATGTGTACTCTGTATAGTCTCCTTCTGCTGGAGGTGATTTCCAGTGTGTGCAGTGGCACTGGTTCTTGTGCTGCATGACATGAGCACACAAGACTGTTCACCCCAGTCTTGGAAATAAGCAGATAACAGCTACTGTTGTGTAAGCCTCATTTGTATGCATTTACGAGTTGAAAGTAATTTTTTAGTCTTGAGTAGTGAATTTTCAATGTTGATTTTTTTGTGAAGAATTTTTCATTGTTTTAAAATAGAGTTTCTATACAAAATACCTCAAGGGAGTGTTACTTACTTGCACTGGGAATGGGCTTTATATTTGGATATCACCTTATTCCTCTTGTTACTGAAGCCATTTGTTAGGAATTCTAGTGGCACATATTCCCCAGGTTTTCCTGCAATTCAAAAAAGATGGAGGGACTGAAAAAAATATTTGTAATTTAATACAAATATTCAGGAATCTTACTTACCAAGAGGAGAGGGTAATAGCCCCAGAATCAAAAGTAATAATTTTTTTTTGGACATAGAATGTCCAGAATTAATGCATTTCTAAAACTCTCAAAAATACTCTGGTTGGAGTCTCTTTGAATTTATTCCTTTGGAACAAATTCACCTACCATATGACTTTACTACTTTATTCATATATTGCAAAATATATGTAGAAAAAAGAATTGGGCCTCTGAAAACCTGATGGTACAGATGAATTATTGCAAGGTACAATGGTTTCTGTGGTATTTCTAAATGAAATTAGATGTCTCTTGTTTACAGTTTGTTTGTAGTGCACTCCATTCAGTAGAACAGTGTATGGATCCAGTACTAATGCAGAATAAGTATGTGCTATAGCCTGATGCTCTTTTGAAGATGTTGTTATATATCCCTAATTTTACTTCCTGCATTGCCATCATTCCCAGTTGTATCTGGTTTGATTTAAGTAGAGGGAGCTTTGTGTTACTAACATATGGAAGTTGTTATTGTTTACATTTGTTCAGCAGATGTGTGACCTTTTTATATGCCTGACTCCTTATCAGTTGGATTAAATAATGTGTAATTCTGCAGTATTCAAGTTGGATGAGAACAAGTAGTGACTGTCAGTGCACATGAAGTCCAGGAGTGACAGTTCCACTGTTTCAGTCTGTGTGAGCATATTTTGTCCCCTCCTTGCAAATCAAACATTCCCCTGTATTCACATTTGCAAGAAGTGCAGTTGGAAGGTGAGCACTGCAAACAGGTAGAGGCCATTGCACAGTGACCTGGTGAGGTGAGATCAGCTGAAGAGACCAGCACCAAGGGGCAGTTGAGCCCTCCAAAATGTAAATGCCTTCAGTGCCAGGGTGGGAAATTATTGGGTCAGTCACAGTCATTGTACTAAAAAAGAAATGTACATTTCTCTTCTCACTCACTTCTCAGCTTTCCCATCTGTCATATTTGAAATACTTAAAACACTTTCAGTATTTTTTAAACAACTACCATTTTCTGCACAAAAGTACCATGCTGGCCTTTTTAGAAAGGGGGGACCCAAAAAGTCTTTACAAGAGAGGTTTTATGTAACCTGAGGAAAAGTGTGCAAGCCATTGATGAATTTTTGTGTTTTCTTTCAACAGTGAGCATATATAAAGGCTTTTAAAGTGTCTGATTTCATCTAAGGTTTTTTTTTCCCTCCTTTGAATATCATCTGTGAGGTGATGGAATTACAACTGAGAACATCAGATAGGAACTTCAGTAAAATTTGGCAAGCAGATCTTCCTTAAGTGTTCATCTTAAACCAGGGGGCCTTTCTCCAGCAAAGCAGTTTCACTTTCAAAAAGCAGTTAATATTGTAATTGAACATGAACAATAGGCCATATATTTGGTGCTCAGTGAAGTAAGCTGTATTTATTTACACCACATGAGGATCTGCCTTTTTCCATATATTTTTTCTAATGCTTCTTTACTTCTTAGAGAACGAAACCTTTGTTTCTTTGCAAACACATCTATTGAGAAAACGCCAGTGCAAAAGTCATTTAACTGGGCCTACCTCTTCTCTCGTGTACCTTGCTTTGCAGTGGCCTTGGGTCTCTACTTCCCCAGGAAGGAGTACTTGGAGAATGTCTACATTGAGGAGCCAGCGGGAATGCCGCTCCTGCGCATCCATGCCCTGAGGGATTCACATGAGGAAGTGGCCCACTTTCATCTGTGCCAGCATCTCATCGTTCCTCGAGCAAGACCACAAGAAAATAATTGGTTCCAAATCAGAGAAAAAACAGGACTTCTCTACCTCAGCAAAAGTCTGGATAGAGAGGACTTTAACATGTTGTGTAAGTATGAAAAGGCCAGCTTTTCTTCTTGAGGTATCTGTTCTTAAAAAAAAATACATTCAGACAATGAGATTTCTCCATGATGAGCATCAAATTTGAAAAAAACACATCTGCCCTTTTAAAATGAGGAGCCCCAATGAAATCCACAGCAGTATGCCAAAGCAGATGCTGACCTGGGACAGATCCCGTTGCTCACACTGGGAACTCAAGTAGGGTGGGACAATTGCATTACTGGAAATACTTTTTCTTCATTTCACAACTGTATAGGTCACAACTTTACACTGAAATTTGCAGTTTGTTCATCTGCTGATGAAAGACCAGTTCTGTTGGGTAGGGTTTCCCAGACAAATGCTATGAGAGTGGTTTAAATTCCTACATAAATGGTCCTTGAATTCTGGTGACATGGATTCACAAATTACATTTTCATGTAACACCAAAGGGCTCTTAGAATAAATGGTTAATTGCACCTCTCTCCCTCTCTTGAGATTTGGTTTTGTTAGAGAAGCTTACTGTTGAACTACAAAAATTCATTATCTCAGGATTTTTTTCTCTTCTTTTATGCTCTAGCAGTAAATTGGTTTTGGAGATTGTGATCTGTGAGGAAATTAGTTATCATTAGATGGTGGAGGAGGAGATGGATGAGGAGTTAATGGCATACCATTGTGATCAGTTGCAGAAATGTTACTGTTGAAGCAAGTCTGTAGTAACTGTTCTTCAGTTTGTAAGATCCACATGTCAACAGTACCTTCAGACTTAGGTGCCTTGATGTTGAAATTTTCAACTTCAGACATTTGATGCTTTACTTTTGAAGTGTTGAGTGTTTGATATTTCATCCATTTTTGGTACTCAGCATTCATGTATATCAAATATTTGTGCTGAACAAAGGAGGAATAGCTACTTAACACCTGAGAGCCTTGTTTTGTTCATACAGATCAAAGTGTCCTGGAACTTCTTTTCAAGGAAGTTAGATCTATTACAGAGATAGTACTGTGCTGTCTGTAGTCAAGCCAAGCGAATCAAAACAAGGCTTGAAGGTGTATTAGTAGATGCCACAGGTTGATTTTAACTTTGATTTTATATTTTGTCCACCTCTTCATATTTCAAAATGATGAAGCAATCTGTTCTCTGAACCTAGACGATTTGGTCCATACTGTTAGAATGCTGTGACTGAAATGTTAGTCCTGATATGGATTTGTCCTGAGTATCTGTTGCCATCTCATGCATTATTTTTCCCGTTTTCCACCCTGCTCTGCTCTAGTCCCTTTAAAAAGTAGTCCTGTCAAAGAGCTGGTTACTGCCAGTGACTTGTTTTTATGTCAGTGTCTTACAGACAGAATACTGATACTGGTTTTGAGATTCTATAATGTAAAATTGGTGCTAAGCCCTATAGTTTTAGGCTTATTTGGATTATGAAAGTTTAATGTCTTCTCATCAGCATCTGGCATACTGAAGAGTTCATTTGCCACATAATAGGATTAAACAATCATTTATGGAATAATGGACTAGGATAGAATATAAGGAAAAGAAATGTTGGCTTGTCTTCTGTAAAATACTTCTTATAGTGTGTGATTTCTTCCTCCTGAAGCTGTAGGAAGTTGGATGCCATTATCCAAGGTGATGCTGTATGTATCTGTATCCCACCCTTTCCAAGAGAAGGATTGTGACTCCGCTACACGCACCACGGTTTTCCTCTCTTTGATCAATGCCACCGCACCAGCCTGCAGTTCTCTGACAGCAAGGCAGCTTTGCTTCACAGAAATGGATCTCTCCTTTCACATCAAGGAGAATAAACCACCTGGTACATTTCATCAACTCCAGTTACCCTCAGTTCATCATCTGTGTCAGAATATCAGCATTTCCTACAAATTGCTTGCAGGTAAAACCCTATCTGAGCCGCTCACGTACTAGCAGTAGATTCAACCAGCTGCACTGTTAAAAGATCTCTTGTCGTAGATCCTCTAGATTTGATTCTATAGAGGAAGCTCCTTTACAAACCTAAACTAAGCCTGAAGATTTTGCCTTTGAGATATATAGAGGAAATGGGAAGGAGGACTATCTCCTTCCCTGAAGAAAAGATTAGTTTTAGAATTCTGTATCTGCTAAAAGTAGACTGAGAATATCCTGAGCTTTTAATTGTGCTGCTTCTAAACTGTAAAATCTTCCCATATATTCTGTGCTTTCTCCCTACTGTAGTATAACCACGCAAGTTCCTTCTGTTTCACTTCTGAATCTCTTTTATTGTGCAGTCATGATATCCAAATGGATTTTCTGAACTGCAGAAAAGTATTAAAGCCATCAGAGCCCTGTACTGGGCAGTGATTGTGGCTGTGTATGTGTGGCTGTTTTGCAGCTGAAGGAGTTCCCTTTCGGTACAACGAGAACACCACCAGCGTGCGGGTGACACAGCGCCTGGATCGGGAGGAGAGGGAGCGCTACGAGCTCATTGCCAAGTGCACCGTCAGAGAGGGATTCAGGGAAATGCAGGTTGAGGTGCCTTTCCTGGTGAACGTGCTGGATGAAGATGACTCTCCTCCCTTCCTTCCCAATGGCACTGATACAGCAGATGCTGTCGTGGAGTTCAACAGGAAAGAGGTAATACTGGTAATGTTCTTTACCTAGACCCTGAAGTGTGAGCACAGCAGTGGGAGGCAGGACTCCTGGGAAGCATCATGTTCTGCCTGGATAATGGATCTTGGCAACAAGCCCATCACCATACCATGCTCTGCAGATCTGTGATTGTGAAATGCTGTTTTTAGGATTCCTCTGCCTCGAGTTATGTCTTGCTCAGATCCCAAAGAAAGAGGAGTTTGGGTTAGCGATTCGTGAGTGTGAAGGAATTTGAGCAATTTCCAAGGTTGGGATGGACATTTGCTGAGTCTGTGGTCAGGATTACTCTGGGTCTCTCCATACTGAGCTCTGCTCTGTTTGTTATGGAGTTGCTTCCCCTGATTAAAATTGTGTTGTTAGAGCTAGTGTATGAGTGTGCCTGTCCCATACATGCAAATATGTGTAACGTATCAGGACTATGTTCAGAACATTTATTAGAATTCTGTAGAAGTAGCGGTTGACTTCTGCAAACCACTGCACCTATGAAGTTTCCAGACTGTTAATGGCAAGCTCCAGGATCTTGTTTTAATGATGTCCTCCCATTTTTCCCTTACTATGCCAAGCTGATCTTTCAAGATATCTGAATCCCTGGATGTCTTTGGTGCCCCTGCACACACAGCCACACACAACCTTCGGTAGAGAGGTACACGTGTGGGCTCTTTAGCTCTTCCGAGGAGCAATGACCCTTTTTAAGTCAGTGGTATAGAGAAGACTTTATTTTGTGGGGGGGGGGGCATAAATTATGTGTATTTCGTGAGAGAACTCCTGTTTCATAACAGCAAAATCTCTTGGTAGTCAATTTTCCATTCAAAGTACATTTTGATCATATTTGTGTCTGGAAGGGAAAAGACAGATTTTAGGAGTTTGCTGCCATCTTCTGACTAGAACAAGTCTTGACAAGATACTTATGAATACATTTGCCTGTGTTTCAGTGAAAGTTATAAGGTCTTGTTTGACCAGGATTTCAATCTTCAGGTCCTTCAGCAGTGCCATTTATTGTTTCCTACCAGGGCACTGTTCTTTCCACGCTGACTGTGTACGATGCAGACACCACACCCATTTATCCCCTTGAAAGCAGCAGAAAGAAATACACAGGAACCATCATTACTGACGATCCCTGGATAAGTGAAACATTTCGTGTAGAGCACATCTTTGATGAAATCCACTTCAGCCCAAATGGCAGCCAAGTGAGGGGAACTCGGCACGAGTACAGTAAGGGCTCTTTCTTCAAATAAAGGAGAAGTTGCTTTTTAGTAGTTGACCAATAAGCTCTTGAATTTTTTTGAGCATTTTGTAAGTACTGAGCTAAAGAAAGATGAGAAATTTCATGTAAAACAAAACACTGTGTTTTAAATATGTACTGAAAAAATTGAGCTTGTGCATCTCTTCAATAGGGAGTGTATGGGATGATGATGTATAAACTGATAAGCAGGAGGTTTTGATTGCAGAGTTATCTGCTTGGTAGATAGAAGGGAAGAAGGCGTCCTAAACATCTTGAATGACAGAGAGCATAAGAACATATTTCATATTTAACTTGCCTTCTGTTTCCTATTAGAAAACTTGGATGTGTATAATTAAATTTGGTACATCTATTTTTGTTGGGCTTGCAGTATTAAAAGATGCATTTGCAGATAATGTGGGTTGCTAATCGATGAATCTTTTCCTTCGCAGAACTGGTACTGAATAAAAGCATTTCAGTCACAGAGCATCGTTCCTTCCAGCTGGATGTTTTGGTGAATGACACAGAATTTCATGGCCCAGAAAGATCGGTGATGCTTCACTTCAATGTCTCCATCCTCCCTGTCAGCATTCAGTTTTCAAACATAACTTACCAGTTCACAGTGAACAGAAATGCTGAACGTTTTGCACAGGTAAGAACCATGTTAATTATTTTTCCCCTTTCTGATGGAGCTTAAGAGCTGGATCACTGGGGCCAGGGGTGTTACAGTGCTCAATGGTTTTAACAGTTTTAAGCAGAATCACTGAAAAATGTGTTACCATTGTGGTTGTTGCTGGGTGTAGGAGGTAGCAGGTAGGCTGGGCACTACCTCTCCCACCACGTAATAAGAGAGGAGGGACCACACATGGAAGTACTGATGGAGAGAAGTAATGTGTTGTGGACAGGGGGATTTGCAACTATGAGTGGTTTAGTCTTGAATAACTGCAGCAATGTCAAGGGCAAAAAAAAGGAATTTGTCTAGCTATTGGAGTCTCAGTATATTAATGGCTTTTCTTTAGGTAATGGCTAGTTAGTAATTCATGTTTCCCAATTTAACCCTTGTTTTAGCTTAATCACCCCCATTGCCATTAATACTGCTTTCCAGAGACACTTTCTAATAGGTTGACATTAGTCAGATGAAAATTACAATGTAATTCCTATGAAACATGTATATTAATAAGGAACTAGTTCAATGCAATTAATATTATGAAAATGAATATTAAAAATATCAGTGATGAACCCTTTTGGGCGAGCTGCTGGGAAGCATGCCTTGTAAGTATTGTAGCAGAGAGGAGGACTGAGATTAAATATGGTCATTCCAATTGCAGAGAAAACCAATTCATTAGAAGAATTTTAAGGAAGAATTAAGTTTTATTAATCTCTAAGCCTCTGGCTAATTTTTAAAAGAAAGAAAAAGGGAAGTTAGATATATTGCATGTTATTAATCCAATCTGATGAAATGTGTTGATAGCTCTTCAGAGTACTGAACAGGCTGTATGTGACCAGTAAAAATTCTACTGCTCTAACAAGGGACATTTTGTCCATAGTCTGAATGTCCTAAATAACAAAAAGGTACCAAGTGTGCTCATGTAGCAGCCTCATTATAAAAGTAATTCCTTTATAACATTTCATGGTGCCTTGTAGCTGAAATTTTTCAGTTTGCCGTCTGTTAGAAACTTCAGAGGATAGTCTGTTCTTTTTGTGCACATCAGATTATTTTTGATGTTAGGTTTGAGGCTTTTGTAGCATCAGACTGTGAAAGCTTTACCCTCTCCTGTTGCCTGGGGATAGGGTGAAACCTGGGTTTCCCCCCTAAAAGAAATAATAGCATGGGTATGTAAGATACTTGTAGTCTAACACTTGCATCTAGAACTCTTGTATCTGTGTCACAACATGACTGTAATTGAAAAAAATGTGGATGCTTACCTGTTAGGTATGTATGAATTTAGATTAATGAATTGGTTGAGCTCTTTTCTGTGTGCATGTTTTTATGTATAGGTGTATGCATATAATATTATTATGAATGAATGATCTCCAGATTAAATTTGGACAGTCATGGTTATCTGTGCATACCCTGGATTGCTTGAACACTTGTTTTAAAATCTGGGAGTATGTGTATTTTTGAAGTTGTAGGGTACAAAACCAAAAAAAAAGCCAGTTGAATTTTAAAGCTACTGGTGTCATGGAATATTGTCATGAGAGTCAAACATCTGAAAAGGAATTTTAGGGTGTTTGAAAACAGTGGCGTTTCTCACTAATTGTGCAGTTTCACTGGGTGGCAGTAGTAGCAGGGGAAACTGTTCCTGGCAAGAGCTCCAAGTCTCTGGAAGGAGATCTTTTTCTTTCTGCTGCCTAAACACAAATTCACAAAGGGATTTTGTTCTGATTCTTGAGCAGCAAAGTGCAAAACTCATCCTGGCTCTGGAGATGGTGTTCTCAGTTAGTTAAAGTGTCATCCACTTACTTCTGAAACTGGGTTTGAATTTACAGTGTGCTCAGCTTGGAGCACAAGTCAGTGTAAGCAGCTTAGTCCCCAGCACTTCACATTATTAAAGTTGGCTGCGTAATTAGCCTTGATGTGCCAGAGTAGTCAGGGAAAGTACTGGGCCAAATCAATATGAAGGCTGAACTGTCTCTTACCCTAAGGAAAACACAGCAGCGTGAAGAAATTATTAACTGCTGGGCTGATGCCATTTGTCTATTTGAGCAGCTAAATGAATTGAATAACAGAAGCATGGCCTGACAGTGCAGCCTTGCCCAGTGGCATTTAACTTACCAAAGGACTTAAAGCTCTATTGACATTTACTGAGACAAATGATGAATAACATTGGCTGAGATTTTTAGAGTGGTTTTATGTCCAAATGTTCCTGGAATTCAGTGAAGAGGAACAGTATCATTATCCAGACTTTATTAAACATTGGAACTTGAAAGGTGGATTTTTCTGTTCTTATTTCTAATAATGGTATTTCTGTGTTAACTACTGGGAGTCTTGCAAATTTGTAGGTTCCTTCCCTGTAAGCTTTTGTTAAACCTGACTACCCTTTACCCTGATCACTTGTTTTTTCACCCTCATGGAAGGAGGAAGTAGCTGCTTTTATCCTTTTCCTCTGGAGTTGTGCTCTGCTGCACCTGAGAGCTGAGCTGGCTCCAGAACTTGTGGAGCAGAGCAAAGTTAAGAGGTTGGGCTTGCCTTAGCAGAATCAGGCAAAAAGAAAGTCTTTCTCATAGAAATTTCTTGAGGGAGGCCTTTATAGCTTCTTCTCTAATTATATGGAGAAAGAAAAATTGGCCAATGTGCTATTCTAAGGAATGAACTGGCTGATCTGCTTTTCAGATTTTATGGGGTCGTCTGAATTTATGGGGTCTTCTCCAGCCCCAGTGAAGGAAATTGCTGTGATCAAAAGGTGCCTGGAAAGAGCAGTTATGACATAGGCAGAAAGGGCATTTTAATGTGGTCTGTGTAAAGGTTAATGCCACGAATCATCACTGTGTTCTCCTCCTTGAAGGAGCACCATCCGAGCAGTAGCAGAGCACTGCCAGTTGCAGTGTGGCACCAAAGCTGTGCTGACGTGCTTCTGGAAGAGACGTGTCTAGACCTTGTGTCTAGACAAGAGTTTGTGAACACAGTGGAAATCTTGTGTTCTTCTTCTTCCTGCCAGTCCCAGCATGTTGTGCAGAGGAGACAGCCAGAAAGAAATGTCCTTGCTTTTGATGGCTTTAATAGTCTTTCTATGTTATTCTGCCACCTAAAATCCCAACAGGAATGGTGCCAAATGACCCATCGGTGATGTGAATGGGAATAAGTTAGATGAAGTGGGATTATCCTATAACAAAGTATGCTTCTAGAACTGCAAGGGCTTCTTCTCTGACTTTAAATAGTCCAGGTTCATGGGAAGAGGTCTTACTACACAAAAACTTCTTTGTTTTATAACATTCTTTAGTAAGAATGCTGAAACCAAGATCTACAGATATGCTTTTACCAGCAGTAGTGTTTCTTGAAAACATTTCTTAACTGCAGTATTTGAAAATAATCCATTACCAAGTTCCTTTCAATAACACCCCACCCTTCACATTGTGGTTTTCCCTGGAAAGAAAGCCAATGCCTCTGGGCCTGATCGAAATCCCACTCTTGTAAATGGAAAAACCAAAGTGAGCTTTGGATCAGTTCCTATAGGAGCTGGACAGGAGATGGGGTTTTACATTCCCATCCTTCTTAGATTATGTGTTTTAGACTGAGGAGTGTTCTAGCCTAGATACTCTGGCACACATAAGTTCAAATATGGCAAACCAACATATTTTCATTTTTAGATTAAAATGTTTTAAAATTGCAAATGGGAAACAATGAGGTTCTTATTCCTTTTAAGGCATTCAGAGAGCTCTTCTGGCCAGAAATTTTTTGACTGTAATATTATAAAAATTATGTAAGAGCAATTTCTATGTTATTTGAAGAGTGTTTCAGCTTTGTTCATGCTGAGCTCTTTGATTTCTCAAGATTGACAAAAATTTTTTCAGTGGTCTGCCTCAGAATTTCCCAGATCTCAGGGTCTTGCTCTCACTGAACACTGCTGCCCATCAGCAGTAGGCACCAAATACTCCTGAGTCTGTGTCAAGGTTTTTTACATTTTCAATGCTAGTCTGAAGACAATACTTAATGCTTTATGTCTCATTTTTACTGACAGTAAATCACATTTAAAGCATTTACGTACTGCATTGGTAGGAAAATAACAAATCTGTAAACCCCAAATAAACACTTGAATTTGGCAAGGTATAGTATGCTCTATTTTATTTCAGATATTTTTGAAAAGCACTAAATATTTTTTGTGTAGAGTTTTGTTCCTGTCTGTGATTTGTTTGTTGGTGTTTGAGCCTAGGTAGGAAAGATCTGCATTGAAAACTGCATGAAATTCCGTGGTGTAAACATCACCTACAGGTTGCTGTCCCCCAACTCGAGCTGCTTTCCTGTCAGCATTCTGCAAGGCCGAGAGGACAAATTTGGGAGCCTCTATGTGAACGATTCCTCTGTGCTGCTCAGACCTGAATGCAAGGAAATACAATACACTGTTCAAGCTACAGACAAGCAGAGCAGGAAACACACCAAAACCCTCCTCACTGTTGTCCTGGAAGGGATTCGTAAGTACTCCAGTCAGAACTCTTTATTTATTAGCAAATGTTACTGGTATGAGGTGATGCACTGGCAGGATGATCTGTGAAATTGATAGCACTAACAATGAAAATGAGTCTGAGCTGCCAGATAAATGGATCACAGAGTTTGGATTCTGAATTTTGATTTGTGCCTTCCTGTAGTAGCTATTTGTTTGAAGAACCAGTGCACAGAAAGGTGGGATATTATATGCAATTCATGATGTTCATGATGACCTTTGATTTAGAAGAATCTTTAGAGTGTGTGTGTCTATATGTGACCTTTATTTTGTATTTCACATATTCCCGTGGAAATAGAAAAAGTGTCTATAGGTATGTGTGTGTACATCTATTTGAAGAAAGAACAATATGGCCTAAGTATGTTTGTTCACTGATTTTTCCCTTCCCTTGTATCTACAACTTTTTAATAGTTTTCTTAGTATTCATGTAGCAATTGAACTGAATTCAAGTTCTTAACGTGTGATGACCTATCCTTATGGGAAACGAAGTTAGAAATATCCTGTAACACCCACAGAGAAGGATTTCACTGGAAACATACTCGTTTCTCTGCAAACCATATTGCATTTTATGCAAAACTGTACAATTGTACTTGATGAACGCCTCTGTTACATTTTATCAGATCAGAACTCCTGTGCCAAGAGCAAATGGGTTGAAGAAAATTTAAAAAGAAAGTATGCAGTGGACTTTTCTTTTTGTACAAGCTTCATATTGTCTGAAAACACACATTTCTAGCTGGTGCTCTTTGGGTTACTACTGTATTAGCCCAAGAACTAAATATTTTCCCCTAATTAAACATTCTATATGCAGCTGTAAGTATTTGTGCTCTCCATTCTTCTGTTATCAGTATGTTTGCACATATCTATAGTTCTAGGCAGTGATAGTGTGCTGTTAAGCAGACATTACCATGCCTTCATGATCTTGCTGTTCATCTTTTATTTCACAGAGAAGGAACACCTGGGCTTTTCTTTAATTGTTCCCTAAGTTCACTGATAATTGGGTCAGTTTTCAGTCTTTCACTGCTTTCTTAATTTTTCTTTCCTTTCTATTTATCCCTAAAAAGTTTTCCTGTTTTGAGCTGACCTGTGTGTGTTCATTTCCCTTGTCCTGAATTTTTTCCAACAGTTTTAAAAAAAGAAGAGGACTGCCCTGACTCTTGTGCTGTAAGTAAGCACCGTGCTGAATGTGAAGAGTGTGGTGGCCTGGGAGTGCTAACAGGAAGATGCCAGTGGAGACAGGGGAGTGGGAAAGGTACATATTTGTTGTGTAAAGTCAAACTTCTGTTTAGTTGTAATTGTGCATTTGAGTTCCATAGATACAAACTGATTTATTCTGAGTGGAAAACATGGTATAGTAAACTACACAGAAGCTGAGGCTAAAAAATACAGTCATAATACTCATATGAAATATACACTATAAAGGAAAATGAGGTGAAGGTGGAAGGGCCATTCTTCATCTTGTCCCTGGTGATGCTGAACGTGATGCATAAACCAGCAGGAAATGAACTGAGCTGGCAGCAGTGTGACTGGAGCAGGTGCACCCAGCAGACAGTGAGCACTAAGCAGTGTCTCTTTCTGTGGTCTGGAGCACACATCTGATGGGTGACAGCACTTCCAGAACAATGATTCTGTGTCGGTGCTTGATCCCTCCAAACTGCGTCTCTGCAACCACTTGTAACTCTCATGTTCAAGTGGGTGAAATTGTGTAGAGAAATCCTCAGATGTGAAAGCTGCTCTTCAGTCTCAAAGTGGTCAGCCAGCTCCTTGTCAAGCAGTATTCACAGTAACTGCAAGTGACATGACCAGAGGACTGTCAAAAGCAGAAAAGATAGCGAAAAATTATTTCTTCCATTTGCCTTTATTTGTTGTCTTGCCTGTTACTTTAGCAGATGCTTGTAGTCATAGATGTTAATTTTAAAAGGCACAATAACCTGTGCTTTGGTGTGTTAGTGTGCCCTGAGAAGATGGAATGAACTTTCCTTCCTCGTGGTATTAGTGCAGCTGTTTCTGTGTTAACAGGGATCACCACAAACTACTCCACGTGCACCCCGAGCATCAGGACTTGTCCGGATGGCATCTGTGACGTGGTGGAGAGCAGAGACCCAGCTGTGTGTCCCCAAGACTGCACAAGTAGGGAATGTGTTGGAATGGGCTTTTCTGTTACACCTCTGATCGCTTCTCAAATGTCACTTTCCCAAGTGCAGATACTTTCACAGGCTCAACATCTCTGCATTGTCACACTTGCATTTGAATCATTCAGTCAACTTAAGGTTATGGGGATTAATCTTGATCTTTTTTGAGCCAGGCAGGTGAAACCCATTGGCTGACTGCTGGAGGGATAAGGTGTTCTCAGCAATTCCCATTCGGCTCCCTGTTCATTCACAGGTGGTGGTTTTGAGTGGAGGTACTTGCTGAAGAGGTACAGGTTTTAGGCATGTTAATGCCCCAATTCCTAGCTCAGGTACAATATGAAAGGAGCCAGGCCTGTTTGAGCTCCTGGGTAAAGAAGTGAGAAGACACAAATTTCCATTTAAATGTGTTTACAGAAGATCATCTGGGGAAATGTACCTGCCCTTTTTTGACAGGTGGCCATCAGAATGATTCAATGCCTTACCTATTTGAAGATCCAGGCAGAGGCTCATATGAGCAGAATTTATTAAGGAAGAATTGAAATGCATTTATGTTGGATCTTTTTGCTTATTCATCTATTTCTACACTCCACTCATATATCTGTGAATATCTGCAACTTCACAACCCACTCTGAAGATATACAGGCTAGAAAAAGCATTGTAATTCTCTTGAGTAATTTCCGTTTTCTGAGAGATGTTAATTTTTAAATGGATCTTTATATCTGACAATCTAATTCAGGATAAAGACACATTTTTTTTGAATGCTTCTTCTGACTCTGACATCATATACTTCAAGTTTAGATTTTAAAATGGAGTCCTTGAGGAAATAACATTTTCTTAAAGGCTAGGACTTAATGTTCTTCTATAAAATTAATTACTAAAGAGGCTTCTTAGTATTTCTTACAGGCAAGAATGGATTGTGTATTGTAAATTAGTGTTATCAGAAAGATAATTATTTCATAAAAGTGCATAAAAACAATCCCTTAAGTGGCAGAAATGCTTGAAGGAAATGCAAGTAACTTCTGTAATCATCAGAAAATAATTCTTTATTGGTAATAATTGCAATAATTTGTCATTTTGAAAGTGGAAATATTTGTGCCAGGGGCTGCAGTGCTAAAATACATTCAACATATGCATCATCAAATGTTTTGCTCAAAAGAAATAGTGTCTTTCTGGGTAATAAGCAGGCGAGTAAGACAAGTTTTCAGGATGTTATGCAAGTCTTTTTAATGCCTAAGTTGAATAATTGTGTACATGACTTGACACAATTGAGAACCTGGGCTGGGGCCCAAAAGCAGTATACTTGCAGACAGAAAAATGAGTGTGTTCTGGGAGCTCAAGCTGCAGGAGTACCATTTTATCAGTTTTTACTGGCAAGGGGCATTGCTTTGGAAATGGCAAACAATAAGTAAGCCAGGAGGTGTTAAGGTCAAGGATATTCTTTAGATACAGAAAGTTGTGAAAATACTTATTTCTGTAATTCGTTTGTCATTATGATGGCTATGTCCTTGAGTCCCAAAATTACTTTCTCACAGTATGCTGTGAATATTACATTGAAGGGCACTCAGCTGAAGCAACTGGTGCTGTGGCTGTGCCTATCAAATAGTGGCAACCTAATTGCATTCTTAGCAAGAGACTGATGTAATCTACTGTTAAGAACAGTTTTGGTAGGACTGGCTCATTCCCTGCTTCCTTCTTCTTCCAGGTACTCACACATAGGCAGATATAGATAAATGCATATGATTTTCTGTGGTTTTCATGGAAACTTTGTTTCATCATCTCTTCATGATGGAGGAAGTTGGCAGGGATGGGGAGAGGCAGGGAGGATAAAGAGGAATTTTTGGGAATACCGGTGCTTTTAAGTGTTGGCTCAGAGGGTGGTGACTCAGCAGAGTCTCTTCCAAAATTAACCACCTGAGCTCTTGTAAAAGGCTGTTTGTGATTAAGGCAGTTTAGAGATAAAAATGTCACTGCTAATGGTCGTTTTTATAACATACACAGAAAAAAATTATTTACTTGGAAATGCACTTGCTGTTACTCTGCATGAAGAACTACTTGAAGTCAAGAGTACAAGTTTCTGCAATTCTTTTACTAATACTAAATAATGCATTTTTAGATAGTGGGATTCATTTTTTTTATCACTTAGTCCATGGCATTTTCTCTTAGTGCTTTGACTAGACTGTCCTGTGGCATTTTGCAGAGGTGGTTAAGTGTGATCTCCATTAGACAGTTGAACCAATGATACCTAGAATAGTAGGCTGACTTTTCCAAGGTAGGGGGAAATTGGCATCAGAAGCAGGAGCAGAACTCAGTAACATTGAGGACTAGTGAGGACTAATGTGCAAGGTCTTCCCATTTCAGGGTCTCAGAAATTTCAGAATTTAGATTCTTCCATCTCCCTCAGGAGTCCCTGTCATTATCCCTGTACTGTGCTCCCTAGTTAAATTTCATATTCATACTGGGGTAAACCCATGGAAAACTGAGCCTTTTCTTTTCCCTTTACCTACATGTAAGAATCTTAGCCTGTTGTCTGTATTTGATTAGGTGGAAACATTATTGGTGGCCATGGGAAGGGCATTGGAAATCTTGGAATTAAATCAGGACATGGGATTTGTTACTGCTTCCCAAGACAGAACTGTTATTGTGAGAAAGATGATATCAAAGGTAAGTCTATCTGCTGTTTTTATTGTAATACTTTTTTCTGTATACATCATGTGTACATATAGAACTATTTACACTTGTGGCCTTGGTAGTAAGCCATATCTTTGGTCAGAGATTGCTAATACAGAACTAGTGAGGAACTGGCGCCTTGGCATCCACTAGGGAGACTGAAAATTTATTTATAGCCTTGGCTAAGGATTCTTTTTTATTCATTGCTACTTGATAGACAAGTTGGTCATCCTTTGATTTCCAGCAGCATTTGGATTTCAGTGAGATTTACCTGATATTTGCAGAGACAGCTAGGAGAATTAGAATAATGATTTCTATTACTTTAAAGTAATTTCAGCTTCCTGATAATTTCTGAAAAATCTCAGCCTCAAAATGTCAGAGATAAACATCACTCAGGGTGTTAGGAGAATGAGTGCATTACTTTTTTCCTTGACCTTTGTTTAAACACTAAAGCTTTGTGCAGTTGAAACAGATAATGGATATTTTAAATTGTTTTTATTTTGGTTAATAATAAACATAGCATGAAATAGCTTGCATCTTTAAAACTGAATGATTACGCAGAAGTAAGAGGCCACAGGGAAAGTTCTAAGAAGCTCTTCTTGCTCCACAGAGCAACTGTGCGATGACTTGTGCAAGACTGTGATCACGGGGGCAGTGCTGCTGTGCTTCGTCATCTCTGTGCTGGTTTCCTTCTACTGCATCCACCGGTACCACAAGAACGCCCCGAAGCCGCCCATCGCCTCCGCGGAAATGACGTTCCGGCGCCCCGTGCAGCCCTACCCCATCAGCTACTCCTCCAGCAACGTCCGCCGGCCTTCCCTGGACTCCATGGAGAACCAGGTGTCTGTGGACACCTTCAAAATACCAGTAAGCCTGATGCCATTTCGCATGCTCTGTTTTGATGTCAGCCTTGTTTATGCATGCAGACGATGTTACAGGGGTGCAGTCCATTCATGGAAACACCCATTACCTTCAAATAGCAGCACTGGAAATCGTGTGCGCTGAAGATTCTTCATGAGTGATTGCATAAATGTTTGAATTTTCTCTATAAGGTCAGTGTGTTCTTCCTTTTTTATTATGCTTTAATACATTGTACCATTTTAGGTTGATTTAGTCCAATGATTTTTACTGATGTAACTGTATCTGACAGTACTGTGGTTTTACTTTTAACATTGTCCAGTTAAGTACTAATGATTAGCAAGTTTGTATTCTCTGTGATGTGCCAAAGTACTACAACAAGGCTGTTTCAAACATTACAAAAAATTCCCTCCTGAGATCTCTTCCTGATTTCTCATATACACGTTGTAGATACCAGTTGGTGTGAGAGTTTTACCCACATTTAAGGACTTATGCCCAGTCATGCTGTCATACCTCTACTTTTTCCTGCTTTGAATCACACTCTACCCAGGATTCCTGCCAGGTGGAATATTTTTATGCGCCAGTGTGGTAAAGAAACACTGCTGCTATATATGGCAACATCAGATCTGTTTGAGTGTTAGGTAGTGGGGTCTTCACCAACCTTCACCAACCGTTTGCTCATTTTCCTTTAGTTTCTTCTCTGGTTTGTACATCTGTCATCATTTTGCAGCCTTAAGGCTTATTAGCAGTAATTTTATAAGAGGATGATTGTTGTCTCTGATCAGTTCTCAAGGGAAAACCTTATTGAATGAAACTTCTCCATGAAAGTCACATGTTCATAGTTATTCTGAAAGCAAGCATTTATCCTGATCACTTCATTTTTCATTTGTACCTGATTTCCCAGACCTGTAAATATTATTATTTATAGTCTATTATCCATAGACTACTTGTACAGCCTTGTTTTCAGGTAAGGGAAAGTACATTTGCAAAATACCTTAATACCCAGAAGCTTTTATAAGAACTCACTGATAAAAACAGCAACCAAACACTGCACTGAAGTGCACCTATACCTAGGAATAGCTGCTCTTTTCCTTGCTTCATCTCATGGGGTTTCTTTTCTCTCCTGCAGGAAGATCCAAAGTGGGAATTCCCTCGGAAGAACTTAGTTCTGGGCAAGACTCTCGGAGAAGGAGAATTTGGAAAGGTTGTCAAGGCGACAGCGTTCCGACTTAAGGGAAGGGCTGGCTATACCACTGTGGCAGTGAAAATGTTGAAAGGTACCTTCCCATCAGGGCTTGAAATTATTTGCAAACTATTTGTGGTAACCTCTGAATGGATTTTAAGAGTGGCTTGTGTGAAAGAAAAAGGTCAGCTAAAAACCCAGCAGTGTCACGGCTTCTCTTTCTTCCAGCATTCTGATACATTCTGACAGTCACAATCTGCAGATTAGTCACTTTAGCAGTTAGCATCACATTGATCCAAGTAAGTAATTCTAAATCATGATGTGCAAGGAGCCTTTGTCTTAACAAATCACATGTATTCGATTCTGTTTGGCATTGATGGAAATATTGCAAGGGTTTTTAAAACTTTCTTCTTCTTTTCCTCTATCCAGTTTCCTTGGACAAAGCTTTTTAAATAAATCATGTGATAATCATATGAACAGACAGAACAGACCTGTTAACTTTACTCTTCTGATTGAGAATTATGTCTAGTTTTATACTTTCTCATCTGCTTTTCAATAAGTAGGAGCTCTATCAGAATGGCTTGAATAACCCAGTGCTGTCTCCTGCTGTCTTCAGTTTACCCTAAGACTTTAAACCTGTGGGGAACAAAGTATGCCTAGATAATGTTAAGATGGTAACATGAGACCTTGCACTGAACCATTCACTGCTGCTTACGAGTAAAAGCATGTCATTACAGGAAAATGTTATATTCTTATTACCATTCCTGTTATATTCAAAGCACATTTGCTACTCCTTGAGAGGATAGATGCCGCATATCCCACCCCTTTACCTAAGAAGTAAATGCATTGTGCAGTGCATGCCTTCATTGCAAAAGGATCAGGTCACATGGAGGAAGTCTAGGAATGAAGATTTTTCGGAAGTGAAGATTAATTAACTATTACTTGTAATGCTCAAATAATGACCTGTGTTGTATTACGTTGTCAGTACACCAGTCACTATTTCATCTCATGTTTATTTGTGCACTTAGTGACATTGCTTTTTCTAGCACATTTTCATTAACATGTGACTGAGTTCAGATTCTAAGATATAGTGGTAAAAATGTTGCTTTAACTTGCAGATGGTTTGACATTCAGTTTTTCCTATCTGTTATGGAGGAAAGAATGGACCAAATTGACAATGTGAAGGAGTAAACCTTTATTTTAAGCACCTTATTTTAATAAATTGATCTGACATTTACAGTAATACTTAAGGGTCTAATGAATCCCTCTGTAATGTAAATTAAATTGCAGATAGCTGAAATTCCATTCTCCAGCTTGACTGTGGGAGCATTTGTCATTCTGCAAATATTTATGTGCTATTATTGGCTTAACTTTACTGTTCACACATGACAATTGAAGCATAAGGACCAGTGCATTAGCTTCAGTGGCCTTTGCAGTGCTGCCAGGAAGGACAAAGGGCAGTTATTTTGGATCAGACCAGCACCACCCATTCTTTCCCTGTACCAGATGCAGAGCAGGTCATTTGTCCAAGTGTTCAGGACTGTTAGACAGAGTGATCTTTAAAGGGCAGTGGTAGGTACACTGGTATGGTATTGCCTCTTATTACATGAAAGAGATCTCCTGCCTGAGCTGGGTAGATGGGCACAATTGGGGTAAAAACAGACCAGGGCAGGACTCTCCTTACTGTGACAACTTGGTGGTACTGTGGTAGGGAACAGGGAGCAATGAGCTGAGCCAAAATATTCTCGGAGCTATGGATGGAGGTTTAATGGAACAGATGGATAATTTTTTTTCAGCCCATTGTTACCACTTTTCTCATATGAATTAAATTTGACTTCCTGCCTGATATGAATGCCCTCGTTACAATAAAATTAAAGGGGAAAACACCAACCAATACATAAATACAAACTATTCACAGTTTGTTAAAATGAGTGGCCTAAAGCTTTAGAGCTAAATGTCTCCATTTGGTGTTAGTTTTTTTCAGCAGACAAACAGGCATGGTACATGGTTAACTTTGGTCTGTTCTGTTTGTTCACATCACACAGCTCCAGAACTACAAAAATAGGGCTTTTCTTACAGGTGTTAAGTTGACATTTTTGATTTTTGTTTTACATAAATATGTGCTTTGTGTAGTCTTTATCAAGTGAGAGACCATCTGATATTGTTCTGCCTGCAGTGGAAGATTCTCTACTGTGAGTGCAGATTCAGAGTACAAGATAATATAAGACAGAATCAAACATGCAGTTCCGATACAAACACAACAGTAGAACAGAATAACTATTTTTATAAGGAGGGCAAACTGGTCACACATGAATAGGCAAATAAATCCTTTGGTGCTCACAGCGTTTATGAAAAAACACACAGTACAGTGCCAAAGAGCAGAAGCCAAACTTGTTTTTATTATCCTTAAATCAGGATGAACACATCCTTGTCAATGCCCAGTAATGACACTGGAGGAACTGTCCAGGCCAGTTCTGTGTGTCAGAGAGATTAAGGATGAGGAAGAAGAAGGGTTATCTCTGACCTATGGTGTCTTTATAACTAGAGATCTCCTTCAAGCCTCAGTGCACTCAAAGAGGAAGCTTGTCAGTCTGAAGAATTCTGCAGAAAGGCAAAAATTTACACTTGAAAGGTTAAGCCTTTTGGGGCCATATGTTGCCACATGATTCTCACTGACATCAGGGAAGTCTGCATACGTGTCCCCCAGTAAAATCAATTTGGACTGTGCATATAGCTTCTGAACGCTGAATCTGGATGTATGCTACAAGAGTAAGCTGGTAGATTAGTGGATTTTTACTCTGTTGGAAGATGTATTTAGGAGAAGGAATGAGTGAGTCTATTTTTGTTTGATCAGCTTGAGAGCTTGGCTTTCATACGCATCTGAAGCTTTTATTGCACTGATTCACCCTAAGAAGTTGCTTTAGAACACCAGAAGAAGTCTGTAATAATTTCATGGCACCTTTAAGACATTACAGACTTGGCTTCTGATTCTTGCCTGACCTCCTTGTTCTGCAGTCATTAGTATCAGGGCAGAGCAATGCTTAGAGCAGGCTGCTAGCAATTCACTTGCTTCTGATGTGGATGGCTGCAGGACACCGGAGATGTGAACATTTCTCTCCTGTGGGGAAGTACAGACTTTTCCAACCTCTTGCTAGCTCCGGGAGAGATGGTAGATCTCATATTTCACACTTTACAACAGAGTTGAGTGATGCTTTCCTAACCAAAACTGTGTGTCTGTTCACTTTCTGCAGAAAATGCTTCCCAGAGTGAGCTGCGAGATCTCCTGTCAGAGTTCAACCTTCTGAAACAAGTCAACCATCCTCATGTCATCAAACTTTATGGAGCCTGCAGTCAAGATGGTAAATACTAAAAGCTTGTTACTAAGATGAAACCATCCAGAAAGAAAATATAATGCAGTATGTTGATGGATTTCAACAACTACTTAATGATTGCTGAGCATCCTTTAAATTTGCTGTTGGCTGAAAAAAGAGGGATATATTAAAAGAACAGTACTTGAAGGGAAAGGGAACTACTAATTCAGTGTAACTAAGTATTCTTCCTGTGGTTTTCCTTAATGCACATTTTGATTCTGAAGCTATTTTAAATTACAAGTCTCATACAAATTCTCTTCCAATCAATCTATATTCTTATATTATGTTAATAATCATTGTTTTCAAATGTGACTTACATTTCAAGTTTGAGTTTTTATTATTGTTGTTATTATTTATACTAAAACAATGTAAATAGACAACTACAGCCATATATAGACAAATACAGCTGGATAGTTAGGTCGATACTCAGTTTGCCTCCACTGTCATAAGACTATTGTCTCCCTCTGGTTATGAAATGGTTTCTAAAAGCCACAGTCTTCAAGAAGCATGTTTCAAGGAGAAAAATCTGCAGACACATGTATTATAAATTGCCAATGAAACAAATTTTGTTCTGAATGGGAGTTGCTCATTTTATGTGAAGTGGCATGGCAACATTGTCTTCCTTTTGCATCTGCAGTTGTGCAGCCTAAAATCGCAGCATGGATTCTGCAAACTTGGACAAAGGCCTGCCTTCTTTGCCCACCCAGTTCTGTTGCAAATGTCACTTTTTAGTTGTAGACAGAGAATGTAATTCAGGAGTGAGTCATCTCTGAGTCTTAGTAAGGTAATGAGCCAGTGGGGTGGGTTAGGTTTTTTTTTTTCTTTTCAGTACAATGTATTTTTCATCCCAAAGGAAGTGAAATGTTTCCGAGTCACAGGCTTTTAATAATATCAAGTTAATTCATTCGTGTATGAGGTAGGAGGGCTTTGATACAGCACACAAATGTATTTATCATTAGGTAAGTATTATTGAGTAGATATTATTCATGTGCGTAATGGGGAGGAGAAATTAATGGATTGTAATGCCAGGATGTTTCTAAGTGCTGTCGAAAGGCACCTTAAACACAGTGCTGGAATTAGCAGATGATTTGAGCTCAGTATCGCAAGCTCAAGAAGACAATTTTAATTTTAATGTTTCTCTATGTTAGGCTGCTTCACAGATCCAATTTCTATGAAGGTTGTCTGGTTTTTTGGTCTCAGATTATCTAGATGAGAGATTATAGGCAAGAGCCAGCATTCTGCTTTGATTTAGCCTGAAACTCATTCTCATTGCATAGAGGATCTAAGCTAAAAATACTTTTATTTCAGTGCTTTTTACATAAAGGACAGAGGTGTCTGGAGCCTCTGACTGTTCAAAACAGTATGTTGATTAGAAAAGACTTGTTTGGAAAAAAACCCTAAAATGGTCATCTATGAATTGTTTACTGAGCTGTGTTCGTTTATTTCAGGCCCACTGTATTTAATTGTGGAATACGCCAAATACGGCTCTTTGCGCAGTTTCCTCAGGGAAAGTCGAAAAGTAGGCCCGAGCTACGTGGGCAGTGATGGCAACAGAAATTCCAGTTATTTGGATAACCCTGATGAGAGAGCCTTAACGATGGGAGACCTGATATCGTTTGCATGGCAGATATCCCGAGGGATGCAGTACCTTGCAGAAATGAAGGTAGGGCAGACAGGGGTGATCCCAGCGTGTGATAGACGTGGAGCAAGCAGCTGGTTCCCCACAAGAAGCATAAACACTCCTGTTGTTTCCTTCCAAAAGCTTGTGCATCGGGATTTAGCAGCCAGGAACGTGCTGGTGGCAGAAGGGCGCAAAATGAAGATTTCTGATTTCGGCCTCTCGCGTGATGTATATGAAGAAGACTCCTATGTAAAGAGGAGCAAGGTACAGTGTGTGAAAAGCAGTAGTGGAAATTATTGCCTAATCAAGGAAATTAAATTACACTGTGGGACTTGAGCATGGATGATAAGGAGAGTGGGTGTTTTTATTAACTTCAGATAATTATTTTAAGGAAATAAAAATGACAATGAAGTAAAAGCATGAGCTTAACCAGTGGGATATAAATACGTGTGTGTATATATGTATATATAAAGTAAAGTATGTATCATCTTTAAGTAACTATTACCTCTTCCACTCCTCATTTATCCATTCCTCTCATTCCATTCCTTATTTGTCCAGTTCTTTATCAAACTACATGAAAACACAAAAAAAATACCCATCTTTTTTTCTTTCTCTCTTCCTATTTATAATCTAAATTATCAACTAAAAATACCAAAGAGCTGAAAAATAAATAGACAATTTATGTCAAGTTCCACACAACTTCCGCAAGTCAGTCTTGGGCTAGACTGTGATGTTCATGAACACAGCATCCCACTGACTGTGTCAGATGAGCAGTGGTGGTTCGGTTCCCTCTGCAGCTTAATATGAAGGAGCTGCCAGCAGAATTCTTCTGCGTGTGAAAATGTTAAGATTTTATGAGAAGATTTCCATAAATACTCTGAATTTTTAGTTTAGCTTTCTCTGTTTTTAAGGGCCAGTTTGTGTGAATGTTGCATAAGTCAAAACGAGTTGTGAAGGAAACAAACTTCTAGAAGACATGATCTTATGTAAAAGGGCATTGCCATGTTCATTTATCTGTCTTCTGATGGATGTGTATTTACACTGATTCATAACAATTGCTCTATATTTTAAGAATAACGCATTTACATAAAGGCAGTTTGGCAGTTTAGTTGTATTTGGTGGGGCATGATGTATTGAGTGGATATTTGCTCTTTACTTCTGAGACACTCATCACTGTAGTATTATTCAGAGCCTAAAAAGTATCTGTCTGCTTGGATGGGGAGACAGGGAAAAGAAGAATTTGAGAAGGAAGAGGAAGTTTCAAATCCTACTGAAATACTTTTTGCATCGATATATATGGGTTTTGTGAGAATGAGAAGTAAGGCATATGAGTGCTAATCATACTGTGAAGGTTATGAAACATCTTGGAAATTTTGCATACCTATATTTTCATGAATATTTGGGATGGATTACTCAGATTTTCTCAGTGAATTTCTGCTGGTGAAAAATAGCAACTTGTAGATTCCACTTAGAAACTAGTAACCAAATGTGACTGTCCAGGTTCAGTTCTGAAACCAAAGGTATCTGTAACATCCTGGTGCTTCTATTTATGCATCATCCCTAGTATAAATTAGATAGTTCTTCCTCTTTAATCATCATTCCTCATAATTTTTTGCATCTGCACATTAACAAAGCTCTTTGTTAAGAATTGAGTTTATCTGAATTGAACTGGTGACCACCTGCAAAAAGCCCCACCAGCTTATTGCACATAATTAGATTGCTGAAGAGTGTGAGAGCACATGACCTAGTTTGTTTCAAAAATCTTAAAATTATTCTCCTCACTGTTTTTCGTACAAAATGCCAAAACATAAGTGCATTGGCAAGTACTGCAGTATGGACAGACTGTGTTTTACTACTTTGAAGACAAATATCTTGTTTTTTTCACTTGGAAACTTATTTTTCTGACCATTACTGCTTTTTTACCCCCTAGGGTCGAATCCCTGTGAAATGGATGGCCATAGAGTCACTATTTGACCATATCTACACAACACAAAGTGATGTGTAAGTGTAAATTCTTGAATACTTTCTGGTTTGTGTGCTTGTTTGTGGAGCTGGGGGAGGAAGCACAGCAAGGTGTGCAGGAGCCAAAGCCATTACTCTTGCAAAGAAATGTGAAGGAAGTCTGGATGGTACCATCAGCTGGCAATGATGCCCAAGATTTTTGCTGTTTAATTAAATCTGAATAAAATATTATCAGAGGTATTTATGTACATAATTCTTGTTGAAATCAGCAAGGGTTGGATCTGTTCATGTGACATGGTTGACTTTGATTATGTAGACACAGGTTAGTAGAGTTTGCTACAGATAATGGTCACACCTGAACTTCTCTGTTCTGTTCATCATTTGTCTGTAACACTGAGTGGCAGGTGAGGGATGGAGTAGAAGAAAGGAAAGGGAATTTAATGCCTGTCCATTCTCCTGTTGAAATCAATGACAGAAATCCAGTCAGCTCAGTCAGGTTTCAGTGCCAAGATACAACCTTATTTTCATGATTAGAGAAACAGAGGCCCTGAAGATGGATATGCTGGAATCTCCACCTGTGATGAAGAGGAGGCAAAGCAACCACAGCTGAATTATCCCCAAGCATGGGGCCAGGCAGAAAAGTGTTTGTAGACATTTTAAATTCAGGATCAGATGCTTTTCATTTCTTTCTCTCTGGGGTGAATGATACTTATGACTAGTCACCAGACTGACTTTAAAGCTAAAGATTTTTTATTTAGGAGAAAAACCTCTAGAGGACTGTAAAAGCAGCAGTACATAGGTCTGATTTTATGCTAGGTAGAATTTTGATAGCTTCTAAGTTTGCCTTGAAAGAGAGCATGTTTTGCTCTCTTGTAATGTTTTTGTTATACTCAAATGGAGTAAAATGCCAATTTGGGTGGCATTGCACTTTGAGGGGTAAAAAAACCACTTTGATAATATCAGGATGTCAAAATATGCACCTTTAGATTTATACTTCTAAAATTATTACCATTTACTTTTTACTCTTCTCTCTGCAGATAGAGCAGTTTTAGTGAAATAAAATATTTTGCACACCTTGGAAATTCCTTACAAAATTAATTTCCAAAGTATTCTCCTGTACTTTATCTGTTGGAGTAAGAAAAGGAGAAAATAGGGATAATTCTTGAGAGAATGTCACTTTTATTTAGGTCAGCGTACAAGTTTTTCTGGGTCTATTTTATCCTCCTCAGAGCACCCATTGTGCTGAGTTGCTTCTCTAAAATTACTTTTCCCAAAGAATCGTTAAAATTCCTTTGGAAACTTCTAAGCATATTTTTAATTTCTTCAGTTTTGTCGCTATGGTTTGGGGCCAGAACAGATTGTGTTGTCATGTAACTGCCTCTTCTTTGATTGCTGATTGATCATCTGGGTCCAATAGCATTCCTTCCATTCCGTTTTCCTGGTGGGGTGCTGCTAAGTAAGCCCAGGAGCATGTTTCCTGTCAGTGGGATCCGACACCACGCAGAGATTGCCCAGCTGGCATCAGGCAAGCCAGCCCGGAGCCCTGGGCAGCAGTGGGTGCTGCGTGGCTGCCCTGCTTCCCCGGGCTGGCTTAGGATCTCAGTGCAGAGCTGTGCTGCTTGCCCAGCTCTCCTGAGGTGCCTCAGGAGCAGGGCACTGTGCCGTGCTCATCTGCTCCATGCAGTGCCAGAAAGGGTGCAGGTGTCTGCTGTGCTTACACTGTGCCTTTGTCTCACTGCTGGCTCACCTTTGCCGTGTCATTGTACATAAAATAATCCAGGGGTGCTCTATAGCAGCTCCTCATTTAGCCAGGTTCCTGCAGAGCAGAACTGAGACTCACACCACAGAGCTGCAGAGCAAATCCTCTCCAGCACCAGGTTCCTTTTGCTACATTTAATGTTTTAGATAATAGCACTCACTGAAAATATTATTTTATGGATATTATTTGGTGTTTGTGGTGATGCAGTTATATTTTAGGTGAACATATTACTCTACAACCATTCCATTATGCCTTTTTTTCTGATATTCTGTTTCTGTTTTCTACCCTCTTTCTCTGCAAGATGTTCTGTATAGTTAGTGGTCAGCAAAGCTTAATAACAGTACCACTTGCCAGCATTTACAAAAAAATTTTTGCTTCAGAGGTTGATGACATCAGTGAAAAACTAACCTACTATCTTCTTCTTCACATACTTTTATTTCCTGGCTTTTTGTGATCATATTTTTATTCAACAATAAACGCAGCACAGTGGGAAATACTTCATTTCTCATTTCTTCTCCTGTAATACTTAATTTGTATAACAGTCTGAAAGTACTGCAGCATTCTACAGCATTCTATTCTAATATGTTCACCTACTGAACAACTTCAGTTAAGAAATTGTTCATCTGATCCCTCCTTCCATATTCTGTAAATTCCTCCTAAGCAGAAGTGGATTTTGGAAATAAAACTGCCGTGCTCCAGAGTTTATTTGAATTAATCATGGACAGAATTGTAACCTGATGGCAGAGCATAATTGGCTTCAAAAAGGGTATGAGGAGAAATATTAATAAAGTATATGAAAATGATATATATATTCATAAACTTTCAAGAATGTGTAGAGTGATTAAAAATTAATTCAGTGAATGGCATTAGGCAGAGGAATGGCAGCATACCACTTGGGACCATGTGAGAGTCACTTTGACTTCTCTGACAATGTGGAAAGTTTTATTGCTGTACCTTTGGGGTTACTTTTTTTTTTTAAAATGAGGGAAGCACAGGTGGAAGAGAGTCAGACAAGAGGTGAGGTATTTGGCTAACATTTTAAGATGGAATTTTCATAGGGAATTAGACACGGCTGTTTGGTTTGGCAGTAGGTGTCAAACATTTCCTAAAATTTTCTTTAAAATGGAGTTTACAGAGAAATTGCCCAAAGCTAGCGTTTTTCATAAATTGTATGCAATTTTGCTTCCAGATGCATCCCATTGAGCAGCCCCAGTGTTGGCTCGTTTCCTTCCTTTCAAACATCCAGATTTTGTCAGCTGTCAGTTGAGCAGATTCAGAGTCATTTGTAGCTTCTTTGTGTCTCAAAAAGCCTTTCACTAAGAAAAGAAAATAATTTTTGCCTCATTTCTGCTGGCTTGCTCTCCAGAAATGAACTAATTTATCTAAATATTTCTCACCCATTGTGCAAGGTCTTTTTGTTTGAGCTCAACAGAAATTCACTATTCCTTCTGTTGATTTCAGAAAGTGGTTTCTTCTGTTTTGTGTCAGAGTTCATTTTAGGCATTAGGTATTTCCAGAGGAAATTTTTTCCTCTTCTTTCATCAAGAAAGAAAATTAAGTCCTGAATTACTGAAATGGCCCAGCTGACCAGCTGAAGTCAAAGGTGTCACTTTTGATTGAAATAAACACCTTGTGTTGTCTCAGTCGGGACAGCAAACCAGCCCTGTGGTAACTCTGTAAATTTAATTCAGAGTTATTCTGAATACACGAGCTAATTAGGGAGGTCAGACTGATGCAGGAGCCCTGTGCAGCAGAGGAACAAGTCTTTGGGCTGGGCCACCAGAGGAAGGACTTCCTCTTTCTGCTGTCTAGAGAAGATGGATCTTCCCAGGGTATATTTAGCTTTTATCAATGGATAAAATAGGGATGTCTGTTCTCTCTACTGTCTTGGTTGCTAACATTTTCAATGAACAGTATTTGGGAACAAGGATGGCCCTGCTTGCATCTGAACAACTGCTCTGTCATGAGGTGCCTTGAATTTTGTTGATTTCTGAAAATACTAGGAAGAGGTTTGTTGTGTAAATGCCACACTAAGCTTGTGAAATTTATCACTCTATATAAAAGCTAATTTTGTCTTTTTCAGATGGTCATTTGGAGTTCTGCTATGGGAGATTGTTACTTTAGGAGGCAATCCTTACCCAGGTATTGCTCCTGAAAGACTTTTTAACCTCCTAAAAACAGGCTATAGAATGGAGAGGCCAGAAAACTGCAGTGAAGAAATGTAAGTAACTCTTGATCTGATTAGATTCAGAAAACATTAATAAATATACTTGGAAAAAAAAAGGTTTAAATAAAAGCCTCATAAATACTGTTCTGTTTTTCTTAGAGATATAGTCAAAATATGTCATACTTTAAGGAATATGATGAAATCAGTGAACAGTAAAGTGAGGGGAAAAAACTGCCCAAAGAATGCCTACAGCTCTATCCAGACCATTTTTAGGGTATTGAATAACATGGTTGCCAAACAATTAAAAGAGTTTGTACATTCAAAACTTCTGAGGGTTGGGGGAAGGAGGAAACTCCATAAAACACAGTGGTAGCTGAAGTATTCAAGAAAATGTCATAGTACTTTCTGCAAATGAAATAGATACTTTATCCACAGGCATTGTCTATTAGTTGTCACAGCATTCCAGAGGAAAAATGTCACCATGGCCCAGAAATCTACACCCTTGAAGATAAAAATGTTCTGTGACTTGATAAGCCCATGGCTTTGGAGACAGTTTATAATTTGTTGGCTGATTCATTAAAACACATTCAATGTGAAATACCTTTTTTTCTGTTATCTTCCATGGCATTTGGAGATGAGGCATGATTTTATGTTCAGCCTGCAAAATTGATCCTGGTTGCAGTTTACTGCAAGTTCCCAAGCTTCAGTCATTGTGATCACTCTTTTGACTGATTTTCAGTTGGAAGGATGCTTTGTCCACATCTGGACTGAGAAAAAAAAATTAAAATAAATAATAGTGTAAATAATACTTTTTTTAACATACAGAGAAAAACATTAAGTATTTCCAAATTTAGGGCAGTGTAGAAGCTTACAGGAATGATTGGCAATTATAGTCTTAAGAAATGTATAATACTAATTCTTTATTTGTTTCATCTCAATGAAGAATATTCATTCCACAAACACGTTATGTCATTGATAATTATTAGTTTAGGCAAGCTGACCAAATCTGAGTTTCTGAGATTTTTTAAATTGAATCTAAATCATGGTTTTCTGACTTTTTTCAGATTTTCTTCTGTTTTACTCAAATTTTTCTGACAGCTTGTGAAAGCTCACTTTAAGGACCATTTTTCTCAAATTGCATTCTCTCCTATACTCAGTCAAGTATGAGAGGGGTTGTGGATGAAGGCATAAAATGCAGTGCTTTTCAATAGCTGCCTAGAGTTCTCATAGCCCACTGTTTCCACCATTAGAGCACTTATGTGGACAGATCACTCAGTCCTGAGAACAGCTGAGCTAGCAAAATGACATGAATGGCACAGGTTGGAGAGTTACACTTCCAGAACTTTCCAATGTCCGTCTGATAGTCACTCAACTATAAAACTTTAATTCTGTTCCCTTTCCTTTCCACATGCTGTGCTATAGAAGGCAGTTAAAGAGAGAATAAATAATAGATTTAATCAAAAGAACAATAATAGAAGTAATCAAAAGAACATTAGTTTCTACAAATAGTCTTAGGCTAGGCTTCACTTTGAAGAAAAGTTTACAGAAACTAAGAATTCAAACAAATGAAAACCAAAATTCTGCTTTTTGGGTGTAACAGCAGAGTTTTTCAGTTTGATACACAAATTTATTGTGCCATACACAAAGTGAGCTAGCAATCTGGCATGCTGTCCTACTTTGGAGGTGGTCCCTTGAGAAAGTGAAACCTGAGACGACAGTCCTTCAAGGACAGCCAAGTGCATCATCATTTAAAGTCATGGAGACTCTTGAAAATAAAAGCCCATTTTTATGAGTGTCAGTTGTTAATTCCAGGGAACATTTACCAGTACTCACAGCAGAGATTGATGTACTTGTGGATGACCTTCATGCCACAGTTAAGTTCAGTGCTGTAAATCATTAGAGCAGAAGCAGGAGCCATTTGTAACCGTTTGGGTTTTTTTCACCCTGTGACGGGTCCCAGGTACAGCCTCATGTTGCGCTGTTGGAAGCAAGAAGCTGATAAAAGACCAACATTTACTGAGATCAGCAAGGAATTAGAGAAAATGATGGTGAAGAGTAGGGTAAGTGTGGAAAACATGGAATTTGAAAATTTTTGTGGTCTTCTGAGTTTGAATGTACAGAAATAATTACTTCTAAAATTTATTTTAAAGCAAAGGAACTTATTCTTCATCAAATCTTGAAGCTTTTACATATCTAGTTCCTTCTACATGCATGCAGCTTCTTGAAAGCAGTATTACCTCTTCTAATAGCTTTGGTGACTTCAGCTCAAAATGCGTGTGAATTATTCTTAACTTGTCTATTTTCTTTAAATAATAGCAATAATTTAAAAACTATTATGAAAAGTTACTCCTAAATTTCACTCATAAATAAATAACGTTAGAGAGCCAGAACTAGAAGAATGTGGTATTTCATGCATTTTAAATTAGTTGAAAATGCTTGACATTCACTTTTTTTTTGCATCAAAGCAATTCAGCAACACAAATAAAAACCAATTAATTCTTACTGGTGACCTACATATTTAGGTTTAGAACAGCAACCATAGTTTTATTTGGCAATATTTAGGTAGTTATTTTATGCATTGTTATGTAATAGCTTTTGTAAAATGATTATGAGCTCTGAGTACCTTGTCCTTTGAGCATGCATATGTATCTCCATATATATATTTCAGGCATACATATGGATCAGGTGCACCAGCAGCTGAAGGGCAAACAGAGCAGTTAGGACAGCTTTGCAGTTTGTTGGGTGTTTTGCTGATGTGCAGAATTAAGTAGGGGAAGTATTCATATGTCTCTATCAGAGGCATTGTTCAGGCAAATGAGGTGCTTCCAGAGCTGCTGTGGCTGCTGGAAAGCAGAGCCTCCTCAGGTACCAGAGGTTCTAGAGAAAGGTTAATGCAGTGGGTCTGTAGTTCCTTGCTGTAAAGAAAACAGGTGCACATTTATGGTTTTTACCCAAACTGCCACGTGCATTAATGCAGCTTTTTATGTATTAATTTCTCAGGACTACTTAGACCTTGCAGCTTCCACGCCCTCTGATTCCTTACTGTACGATGATGGGCTCTCAGAAGAGGAGACACCTCTCGTGGACTGTAATAATGCTCCCCTCCCTCGAACCCTCCCTTCCACATGGATTGAAAACAAACTCTATGGTAGAATTTCACATGCATTTACTAGATTCTAGCAACACACAAAAAAAGCTGATTTTTCTTCTGCACTGTTCTCAGACTCTGTAACCCCATTACAGTGTTTCTTGTCTGAATGAAGCCAATCAAAATTTGCTTGGAAGCTTTTTTGGGGTTTTTTGTTTGTTTGTTTGTTTGTTTTTTATTTTGGTAAATGTCAAAGTTTGCATCAGGATCCATCCTTTAGTCATTTTGCAGCTGTGTCTAAAATAAACATTTTAAAAGGATGTGAAAATAAGTAAAATGACTAGATATCGTACAGTAAAAGCAAAAAAAAAAAGATCAGGGAAGTATTCTCAGGGGAAACATAAAATACTAATGAGTATCTAATTCAACTATCCTGTTGGGGAGGCTACAACATTTCAAATATGTTAGATTCTGCACCTCTAATTTAAGCAATAGACTTTTTTTTTAATACTGTTTTTTGCTATAACTCGGTGATAAGACTCATCTGCAACATTTTTCATTTATTCAGAAGGATGTCTAAATTTCAGCTGCTATTAGTACATTTTGGATCTATAAGCTGAAATGTATTTAATGTATCATAGTATGAAAACAGATTATTATATACAGAAGGTAGAAGTACTGTATATAAATATTATATACAGACTAAACTGACATGTAAAATCCTTTGAAAACTTAATTAACAATGGGCATTTTGAAAATATCATCTGTTTTCACGTCCTTTGATTTGTTATGAACATGTTAGTACTAAACCTCGACTCAATGATGTAGCAAGTGTTTTTAAAAAGAACATACGCTTTCATATTGTGATGGTGAGATGGACAGTAAAAATGGTTCTTGCCAAAACTCCTATATTTTGTCTTCTGATTAAATATTCTACATGGTTTTAGATACTTACTAACATCACAGATACTTTTTTCATTCTTCAAGCAGTATGACTTTTGAAAAGTTGGATCTTTTAGTTTAAAAGTTGCCATTAATACATGGCTTTGGGTCTATTTTTGATCTATACCTTAGCTATTATTTTCTTCATTAGGTTTTCTCAACTCATGTTGATTTTGGGGCACTTAGTGAAGTAGCATAAAAAAGTTGCCACAAGGTTGATGTCAGATGCTGAATGCTTAATAAGCAACAGAATCAGATTTCTGTGTTTGAAAATCTCAACCCTGCTATGATTCTGTGTTTGCACAGCTGAATCAACATGGTGCTAAGCACTCTGCATCCATTTTGGTTATCACTTGTGCCTAAACACAGAAACAGTTACTGCACTCTATGCAAATAATTACAGGCCTGAAATGCAACTTTAAATGCTGAATCAAGACAGGAGTGCTCAGCATTTTGTTGGACTTTACTCAGTTGCCCTCCTGGGGTTTCCTGAAATTAAGCAGGGATCCCTAGTGGGGGTGTGAAAATGTCCCCAGAACCTCACTGAAGCCAAAGGAAAATCATCCATTTAAATAAATGGAAATATTCTGTCATTAAAATGGACTTTGGATCCTGTCCCAAATGGGTTTATTAATTCTTGGAGCATCTCCTGTACAGCAAGAACTTTCTCTTGCAAAGCAATATATTGCTACATGAGTGTTAAAATATAAAATTATGGAAAATTGGAGGCTTATGAGAAGAACAATTCTTAGCTTTTTATTATGCACATGTGCATGCATGCACAAAATTTTTTATTGAGTAAGCACTTTAATTTATCCAGGTTTTTGCCTGCATCTGAATTTCTGCTTCAGGGATTTCAAACTTCATTTATGTGAATTGATTTGGGACAAAATCCAGTGGGCTGGCTTAAAGTATTGAAGGGAGTTTTGCCAAGGGCCTTACTGTCTGCACATGAAGTTATGGTTCTTCAGTGCAGAAAAAATTATCTGTTTTCATTTTTAGGCATGTCATACCCGAACTGGCCTGAGGAGAGTCCCGTTCCACTCACAAGATTCGATGGCACTAACTCTGTGTTTTCAAGATATGCAAATGATAGTGTATATGCTAACTGGATGGTTTCACACTCAGCGGCAAAGTTTATGGACAAGTTTGATAGCTAAAATTTTCTTTGTGAAAGGTAATGGGCTCCTGAGGAAAGCAAGGAGGCAAAGAGTGGGAAGTCCATTGACTTGTTCTTTGTACAATCGACAACTAACTTTCAAATTGGCAAATCCCTTTATTGGTAGTTTTTCAAGTGTGTTATTTATGCTGAAGACTATAACTGGTACTCTCCTCTTTCAGAAAACATATCAAGCTGGATAAGAGTTGTAGTTCTGGTACTTCTTTCTAAGTTGCCAGTTTGCATATGGTTCCATTTGGCAACTTCTTAGTGCAAATGGCCTTGTACTTCATCCTCAGTGGTTTTTAGACTAACCATCCTGTGTTACAGTGTTCTGGGATGATAAAACGTACTTGAACTGCTACTTTTATAGTGGCTGTTAGCATACAACCACTCGATCTAAGCAGGAAGCACAAAAACTATATAGAAGGGAGGAGGGTATCAGGCACCCAGATGACTGAACTTGCTATCAAATTACAAGTGTTAGAATGATGTTGGCACTAACAAAGCCAATATATTAGTTTGGAAGAAAACATTTAGTAACTCAATAGAGGACTTGAGATTCAACATTTGAAGTCTTGTAAAATGTATTGTCTTGTCTTAATGAGAAGAGAATTTGTTTTATTAGTCTTAACTTCTCTTACCTTTAGCACAATGGAGATAAATTTGATACAAGATAAACTGTATAGACTGATGGCAATCAAGAATGTTCATCTGACACATTTACTTTCCATCACTTTCCATATTAGTAATGTTAAAACATACAGTCATACAATCATAGTTTATTCTATGAGTTAAAAATAGGCTATACAGGATTTTTAGACTGAATTCATAGAAGAGTAACATCATAGAATGGTTTGTGTGGAAGGGGACTTGAAGGTGATCTAGTTCAACTCCCTGCCCCACTGGCCCACTCCTCTGCTGTGGGGAGGGACACCTTCCACTAAACCAGGTTGCTCAAATTCTCATCCAACCTGGACTGGAACACTGCCAGGGATGTGGCATCCACAATTTCTCTGGGCAGCCTGTTCCAGTGCCTCACACCTTCACAGTAAAGAACTTATTTTTAATATCTAACCTAAACCTGCCTTCTTTCAGTTTAAAACCATTTTCCTATCCTAACATTAAATGCCCCGATAAAAAACTCCATGTCCAGTTTTTCTGTAGCTCCCTTTATGTACTTAAAGGCTGCTTTAAGGTCTCCCCAGAGCCTTCTCTTCTCCAGGCTGAGCAGCCAAAACTCTCTCAGCCTGTCTTTATAGGAGATGTGTTTAGCCCTCTGACAGTCTTTGTGACCCTTGTCTGGACTCGCTCTAACAGGTCCATGAAGTCCTTTTGCTGGGAATGCCAGAGTTGATGCAGCTCTCTGGGTTGGGTCTCAGAAGAATAAAGGAGGAGAAAGCCGTCCTTGACCTGCTCCCCACACTGCTTTTGATGTAGCCTGGGATACAGCTGGCTTGTTGGGTTGTAAAAATGTATTTCCTGGTCATATTGAGCATCTCATCAATCAATACTCCCTAGTCCTTTTCCCCAGGGCTGCTCTCAATCCATTCTCCAGCCATCGTGTCTTTGTGCTTGGGATTGCCATGACCAAGGTGCAGGACCTTGTCTTGCCTTGTTGGACTTGCTGAGGTTTGTGTGGGCCCACTCTCAAGCCTTTCTAAGTCCCTGTAGATGACATCCTTTCTCTCATTGTGGCAGCTGCACCACACAGCTTGGTGTCATCGAAAAACTTGCTGAGGGTGCCCTCGATCTGCTGTCAATGCTGACTGAGGTGTCAAACAGTGCCAGTACTGACCCCTGTGGAACAGCACTCATTCACTGGTCTCCACTTGGATGTTGAACTGTTGACAGCAACTCTGAGCGTGACCATCCAGCCAATTCCTTATCCACCATATGGTCCGTCCATCAAATCCATGCCTCTCCAGTTGTAAGTCAAGGATGTAAGATATGTAAGACAGTGTCAAATGCTCTTCACAAGTCCAGGTAGATGGCATCAATCACTCTTCTCTTACCCACCAGCACTGTAATCCTGTCATAGAAGGATGTTTGTAGTGTTTGCCCTTAGTGATGCCATGTGGACTGTCACCAATCACCTTATTTTCCATATTTTGTCATCAGGTTCCATGGACTTGTGGACCCTCAGGTTCCTTAGCTGGTTCAGAACCTGATCTTCCCCTATGGTGGGTGGTTCTTTATTCTTATAGTCCCTGCCTTTGCCACCTCAGCAAAAGGGTTCCTGCAAACTTGGGCCTCAGTGGCTGAACAACTGGCTGGTGAAGACTGAGGCAAAAATGTACTCAATGGCATTGACTACCTCAGCCTTCTCCATGCCACAGGTAACCATGTCTCTCATTTCATTCTGGAGAGGTCTCACATTTTCACTGATGTACCTGTAGAAGATTTATTTTGTTGCCCCGATGTCCCTGGCCAGATAGAATTTTATCAGGGCTTTAGCTTCCTAACCTGGTTGCTTGTACAATTGCTCTGTATTCCTCTTGGCCTATCTGTCCTTGCTTTCATTCTTTTTCTGTGGGGGAAGCATAGGCTTCCTTTTCGTGTTTGAGTTTGTCTAGGAGTTCCTTGTTCATCCATTTGGGTCTCCTGACATTTTTGCCTGGCTTCCTCTTTGTTGCATCGGTTTTGACCTTACAAGAGGTGATCCTTGACTATTAACCAGCTTTCTTGGGTCACTCTTCCTTTCAGGGCTTTATCCCATACTCTACCCAGAAGATCTCTGAAGAGGCCAAGGTGTGCCTTCCTGATGTCCAGGTTAGTGAGCTTGCAGTGTGCCACCTTGCTGGCCTGAGGATATTGAAGTCCATCATTTCATGATCCCTGCAGCTAAGGCTGCCCTTGAGATTCACAGCCTTTCCTTATTGGAAAGAACAAGGTCCAGCATAGCAACTCTCCTCGTTTACTCCTCTGTCACTTGGAGAAGAATCTCATGCCCTGCTGTGTTGTCCCTCCAATGGATATTGGGATAGTTGAAGTTCCCCAGGAGGACCAGGGCTTGTGAATATCAGGCAGCACCTCTGCCTGTAGAGGGTCTCATCTGCTTGGCTCTCATCTCCTGCTTGGGTGGCCTTAGACTCCCACTATAACATCTTGTCCTTGCCCTCCCTTTAATCCTCAGCCATAAACTCCTCATCCAACCCCAATACAGCTCCAAACACTCCATGTGGTCATGGACCTAGCGGGCAACACCACTTTTTCCTGTTCCCTGCCTGTCCTTCCTAAAGGGCCTGTGTCCTTCCACTCCAACTCTCCAGTGATAGGAGCCATCCTACCACATACCCGATGCCAGTAAGCTCATAGCCCTGCAGGTGTGCACAGTCTCCTGCTACTTTTGTTTATCCCCGAGCATTTGCATAAAGGCCTTTAAGTTGGGCCTCTGATGGAGCAGATTTACTAGCAGGAATGGCTGGAATTCCCTTGCACAGCACTTCAGCTTCTCTCTTGCTGATTTGCAATCCCTCTCCAGGCTCTGGGCGTCCCTTGCTGATACTGGTATCAGAGTAGGACTGGAATGGACTGAGGATTCCCTCTCTTAGCAACTTCAGTGTCAGTCTTCACCAGCTTGGCAAGCCTGCGACCAGAGATGCTCTGGCTGTTCCTGGCAGGTGAGTCCCCATCAGACTCCACCAGGCCAGGAGGTTTCAACATGAGTCCCCAGAAGCAGCCAGATCCCTGGCTGTGGCACTAGACCCCTAACCATTTGCTGATTTGCCAGATTCACCTGGCCCTTTCACAGTCCTTCCCTTTGACAGGGAGGACTGATGAAAAAGCTGCCAGCACTTGAGTTCCTCAGCACCACTCCCAGGGATCTGCAATGTCCTTGGTTCTCCTCAGGGCACTCCTGGCTGTATCCCTGGTGCGCACGTGAAACAACAGCAGCAAATGTCAGGAGACTGTAGGAGGCTCTGGGTGACATGCCTGCTGCAGCTCTCTGGTAATCAGTCAGGTTGATGAGTGGGTTTCTCTGTGCCTCTCAGAGGAGAGAGGAGAGTCCCGTGCACTCTCACCTGTCACCTCTGCTAGTTGTGCTGGTTGTTACACAGGGAGCAGATGGGGCTGCCTGACTCAGCTCCAGCCTCACTCCTGACGTGATGGTCCTCCCTCTCCAGCCTGCAGTGCTGAAGTGGGTCTGCAGGGTCACCTCAGGCTTCAGGGAAGTCTCTTCCTCCAGCAGGTTCTTGTCATTTCAAGTGTCTGTTCTTCTGCCTTCCTGACAACCCTCCTCCCTTCTGTGTGTGCATGGTGGGAGAGTTTTTGCCTCTTTGGCTGTGGGATTATTGCAGGCTGCCCTTAGAACCAGCCATCCAACTCCTTCGCAGCCTGAAGTTACGTAGCCTTCTCAGCCCTCTGCAGCTCTGCCACAGGACGTCCTCTGCCTCAGCACATCTTTTGCAGATGAGACTCAAGTACAGAGATTTGGTTTGCAGTCTTGTTAAGTGGGTTGGAGACCTCCTCTCAGCTCCAAATTGCATATACTGCCATGCACAGGACGCTGCCATAACATAATTCCAAATAAACCTATTACCTTGAAAGTACAAATAAACAGTTGCACAGCGAAATTGCTGTTGAAATGGCCCAAGGCAAATGTCACTGGAATTTGTTAAGGTGAAATATAAAAATGTCCTTACAAAAGTGACTTGATACTTGGGAGAACAATCAGGCTGTGAGTCATGTTCTATGTGGAAGAGTAAATGATCAGCACTATTTTTGTCTTTATTTGTAATCTACCATGGTTAAGGGTAACCTTTCATTTGCTACAAATGTTGGGATGTAAATCCCGAGTGACTCGTTGTTAGCGTTGTGATGGTTATTCTAAATAATCCAATTCTACCAAAGCTTGCTCCTGTCACAGTCCAATTTAGATGTTTCAGATCTGTTTTCAGATGTTGTTTTGTGTATCAACTTTATGTTTCCATTAAAGTCTGTGATTTCAGAAGCATGGTCTTGAGTCAGACTGCCAAAACCTGAACACAGATTTTCATTTTGCAAAAAGTGGGATATGAAGCTGTGTGTTGGAATTGAAAGAGCTTCCCTGTTGGATTGATCCTGTCCTGGCTTTGGACAAGCAGTAGGCACAGCAGCTTTTCCTTGGCACAGAATTTGCAATATTGAGTAATGCTTATGTACATCTGAATGCAGGAGGGGCTCTGCTGTGACACCACGGTGATCTTCATTGGGATGACACGACTGTCAGAGTGCATATTTGGAAAACAAAGGGCACTGAAAATGAAACCCTTGATATGGGCTGTTTTTTCTATTGAGAGATCTACAAAAATGAGACAAAAATTGTGGTAACTTGATGCTTTGTCTAGTTGTATTCCTATATATTATGTCTGTAATGGGAATTCCTCACTTGCCATGGGCACCCAAGGCATCAAGATTCTTGGTTTTGTTTGGGTGTTTCTCTTCCTTAAATGAAAAATGCAATTTTATCCAGTATCTTCAGCAAGAGTATGCAGCTGAGAGATGTGAAACACCCAGTGTCTAATCCAACAGCCCTGTGACAACATTGCTGTACAGTAGGTGAGTGGGACAGTAAGCGATGCTGAAATAACCAGCAGAGGCAGGGAGTAGTGTGTACTTTAGACTTTCAGCATAAGTCAGTGTTGTTTCAACCATTAATTTGTGTGAGAATTTCACTAATAGTTATTGCTACCTATCCTACTGGACATAGATCCTGCATATAAAACACATACATGGCCCATAATTACAGTTTCCATGCACAATTACCTGCATTAAGCACAGTTTAATGAAAAATTATGTGTTTCCTAATCCAATTAATTCTGACTCCTTTCCTGCTTATGAATGTTGGCAAGAAATAGATTATTGCTTTTAAGTATTCATTCATAATATGAATTCATAAAGCTTCTTATGTCTTCTGTGTATGCTATTTTTGTAAATATTTCCCTTGAAGTGTTTCCTGTTTGTTCTGTGTTGCCACTAGTCAAAATGGTGACAATTTTGTTTCAGTTCCTCTTTGGAGAGTAAATGTACTTCCCACATGGGAAAAAAGTGATACAACAGATTATTATTTCCATCAGTGCCAGAAATACTTAAGCACTTGGATGCCCTGAGGAAAGTTAATTCAGAGGGAACAAATGATTCACCTAAATATACAGGTTGGAGGGAATAGCTTTCTAAAAATTTCTGCCAACCTTTTCTAAATATCTGCAGAAATGACATGGTTTACCTGATCTGTGCTTTGAGTTGTGACAGATGGGGGAGAGCATGAATCTCACATGTCAGTACGGTCCTTAGAGCAGCACAAGGAAATCATTGCAATATTGGTTTTCACAAACTTCCAGAGGTGGGATACTCAGAAAATCTACTGTGAACTTGCAAATTTTAATTTTCCTACATTAACCTGGTTCATATAGTAGAAGTTCTTAAAAATATTATCCCATGGATATGAGGTACATAATATTTAAATGATGGGGATCTTATATACAACTCGTAATGCAAAATATGCATGAATCTCTATGTTACCCTCAACTGGACCTTAGGAATTCTCAAAAACATACAGTAAAGGCAAGCTTATAGTCCTTGTTGATTTAGCATTAGTCTTATATGAATAATACAAGCTTCAAAATACATGTAAAAAGAATATTTCTACTCTATATTTTTTGAAAGTCCATAAAATGGCTTATAATTTTGAAGTATTTTGTTTCAAAACTCAGCTTACCTGAAGGTGTTGTTTCTCACTGTAGCTACAGTGGTAAATTTATAACAAAATACTGGAGATAATATTCAAAAGCACCAGCCCTTAAGTAACACCAGCAATATTCCCCATGAACAGAGTGCAGATGGGCCATAATGTGATGAGTGATCTGGTCTTTCCAGCCCAGGCAAACTTCCTGAAAAAGAACCGAGTCATTCTCTAAAAATTTATGCAAGTACTTAAAATCTTAATAAGAAAACCTTAGCTGTTCACATCCTCTCCATCTAACTTCATAAAATTTAAGTAGTCCTTCTGAAGTTAATGGAATCATTCATAAATATATTACTCATAGACATTTGCAGGTCTAAAGTCCAATATCCCAAGATTCAGCTAGCAAAAGTACAAAGGGCAGTATCAAAATGTGGACAAAGCAGCAGTAGCCCTCATGTACCCATTCTTGCTACAACATTTTAACTTACTTGTTAAGAAGCAGTCTGTAGATTGAAATACTAGACACCAGAGAACAGGTAAGCACAAATAAATTTCTGATTTATACCTCGAAGAGACAATGAATGAAATATTTTTTGGTATTTATCAAGTTCTCCAGTAAAGCTGAGTCATTAGTTTAAGCTCTGTTTTGTAATTCTCATTTCTAAACCTTGGGACAGCAACCTCTGTCTTTGAGTTACAATGGTTAAGTACTCCTAATGCATTCTGAGAAAATTAAAAGTTTCTCTCTTTTTATACTGTTTTTGGCTTTACCTGGTCTTTTAAAGGGTTATATGTATCATAAACCAACAAATTTCTTGCTGAAACCTCTTTCTTTGAGCCATTATCAAAGATAATGTTCTGAAGTTAAGTAAAAACATTTTGCCTGCCTGAGGATGGGTGAGTACACCTTTCCTTAAGCTCATCAGAAATAATTAGCTCCTTATTTGGGTTAAAAAGGCACAATTCATAAAAATGCAACTTAATGTTACCTGAAAGCATTTTCATGTGGAAATCATTTTCATATGATTTCACTTTTCATTACAGATTAATCTAAATAGTGAGAACAGTTTAAGAGCATTGCAGTTATACTTACTATAGATTTGAAATCCTGAACAACTCAGCCTCAGTCTGGGTATCTGTCATTGCAGTTCCTAGTCTGATTTTTCTTCTCTCAGCATGTCACATAAATTATTGTTTAAGCCCTTATATAATTTTTTAGCTGTTCAGGGCTTTCCTTCCTGACATTATCCTGATTGAAAGAGTTTGAAGTGAAACCTGATTTTTGTTTGGAACATGTGCCATTTTCATAGCTTCCTGCCAATGCAATTTCCTTTCTGAATTTACTGTGCTTAAGGATGGAAGTATTTTTTTTTTTTTTTAATAAAACTAAAATTGCTATATATTTTAAGCATTTGGTTTGCAAAGAATCTTGCTTGCCTAAATTTAGGTATATTTGAAAGTTGTTTTGGGGAAAAGAACCCCCGAAAACTCCACTTTGTCTTTCTGAGAATGTAATGTAGTGTAAGCTATAGCCCAGTGCAAATCAATTAACTAGTAGGATACATTCATCCTACTTTTTTTTCCAAACTGCTGCCAATAACAAGAATAATATCTGTTTATTGAAGATTATTTCACAAAAAAGGATTCAGAATAAATTCTTGTCTCTTGGAAAAGGACATGTCAAAAGGGTGGAATCCCAAGTAAGGAGTGGCTGATGGGACAGATGAGGAGGCTGAGAGAGGGGGCTGATCTCATTCCTTGAGAAAACTAGTAAGGATTCATCTTCAGATGATTAAAAAGCTTGGAAGAGCATTGTAAAGATTGAAGTATGAGAAAAGTGTATGAAAAGATCTAGGAGATCAATACCAGAGTCATAGTATATTTTTTTTAAATGTGTACAGAGCTTTGAGAACCAGCCAGTGAGAAACAAACAGGGTTAACTGTTCTCCAAGATAGTTTTTGTGTGGTCAAGAGTGTCAGCAGAAGACAAGAATTATTCTTTCTGGTACAGGGTATAAATAATTGAGGGAGATTTTAGCATCGGGTCAGGAAAGCATTTAACTGCCTACTTCACTGTTCTTCCTGTGCAGAGGCTTTCTGAGTCTAGCCGGCAAACAGAAGGGCATGAAGTTTATGCTGCTTATAGGGATTTTTATTTTAAAACGTTGTTGGAGGTCTTAGAGGTGGTGTTCTTCTAGGATCATTTGTTAAAATGAACTGTGGCAGTTTGTTAAATATCAAAGAAAAACAGATGATGTGAGTTTTTGTAGAAATACTGTGGGGAATACTTATTTATACTATAAAATATTGATCCCCATTTTTACATGCACAAAGATAAAGTAAGCAATCGGGTTACAACAGGTTACCCTCAGAGACAGCTTTGTAACCAAACAAATAATGTTTATGGAATCCATTATGTTTGCTTACTGAGTCTCCATTATGGTTTCCTCATACTAGAAAATATGAAATACATGCTTTGAAATGCTAGACCTTAAACTAGAGATTGCTTCTAATTGTTAGGATTTCCAATGAGAATTGTATTTCCTAGGCAATACACTGTTTAAGGGTATTACACCTTGAAACGCAGTGATATGAGTAGCACATAGTACCTTTATTGCTATGAAAGGCATCAAGTCTACACTAAGGACCTTGTCATACAAGATTTAAGCATAGCTCAGGGGGAGCAGAAAACATACATAAAATTATCAGCAGCATTTTAGCATTCACAAGTTAAGCTATGTTTTTCCACCTCCTACATGTGGCCAAATTTTACAATTTGCATGTGTCTGCACTCGTAATGAACCTCTTCGTGTTGTGAGTGTACATCAGTAATTTAAACATAGCTTGCACATAGCTTCTAAGATGCTTAAGTTGCATAAAAAGTCAGTTTGAAAAAAACATTTTATCTCTGTGCTTATCCTCTCATAAATATTATTTGTTTTTTAAAATAGTGCAAATCCTTGCTTGTCTAGCATAGTGCCAGAACTGGTAACTGACATTCTTTAAATTTAAATTAAAAAGAGAATGAAACTGAAATAGGAATGTCATTTATAACTATTCAATTCCATCTAGTAAATACTTCTGAACTTGATATTCCATAATTTAAATGGGGTGCAGATCAGGTCTTTCTCATTCTAATTCTAAAAATAGGGACAGGAAAGGAGATGCAAGAACACATTTTCCTTGCTCTTGAGAAGGAGTGGGAAAAAATTCAAGTGATTTTCAAAATGTTCAGCTCTCCTGGAGTTGCATTTCTAATGTAAAATCTTGCTTTGAATTAATTTGATTTGGAGTTTCATTTTACCAACAGATGTGAGTCGTTGTAAGATGCTCATTAGCAAAACTTTTTCCCAACAAAGATAAAACAAGTCAGCAATTAAAGAGAAGCTTGTGAGACTGTTAGGAATGCAGTGACATTTGATCCTGACTTTGCAAATCAGTTCATCCTTACCCATTGGTTTTATAATGATAATGATAGTGAAGTCTCAACAGCATACTTTAACACTTTGCCAAAATCAGCCACTGCTTTTATGCATCATAGGAACAGATGCCAATTTCCATGAAAATCTAAACAAAGTATTTTCAATTGCTCAACTGAGGTATGGTATTTTTTTTCTGGTTGTCTGTTGGTATTCTGTGGTACCTAGGAGGCTTCTTTTGACAAGGGAATCTTCCTTTTGCCCTGTTTTAGCACTGTTACAGCCCTACGACAGTTTTTCAGTCACTGGTAAAGTACTGCTAATAAAATCAAAGTAGTTAGGTGATTTTATTATTACTTCCATGCCATTTTATGGAAGGGAGGAGTTTAAAAACATGACAAATGTTGCTCTTAAAAACATTTTAATTATGTATATGCAACAATGAATGGTACCAGAAACAAGAGAAACAATTTGTTTTATGAACTGGCTGGACTTTTTACTCAAATGGAGAGAGATCTTTTTTTGGGCAGTGACAGACAAGTCATAACACTAGCAAAGAAATCCAAACCCTAAACTGGAGTAGATAAAATATTGCCAACAATGAGCAGCACAGTACAGACAATGAACAAGGTACTAACTGTTTACTAAACTGTCAGCATGGATGATCATCTCTGTACTGTGCCTTTCTACAGTTTTGTTTTTTTGTGTGGAAGGTAGTGGTGGTTTTATTGACTGTTGGGCAGGCTCAATGGGTACATACACCTGATCATGCAGTAATGAATGTTAAATACTGATATGCTGAGTATTTTGTGTAAAATATGAAGCACATCAGGTTATGTTTTGCATAACACCAAATCTTCCAGTCAAACCCCTCCTATTTGCTTTACATTATAGGCACAGAAATTTGGTTGCTTGGACTTTGTTTCACAACTGCTTTGCAGTCAATGTATTAGTGACAAAATTTTCTTATCTTTTTAGAAAAATGCCTACAGCATTTCTTGGTGCTATTAGACAGAAGCTATATAGCAAAGATGTTTTGGAATAGTCAGAAATAAACCAGTATAGAATTCCAGCACTACCTACATGGATTGCTTTCCATATATGTTGTTACTGCTGTGATACCGTGGTGCAGCTGTAAGTGAGCAGTGGAACTGTGGGCACACAACCCATTGTTCCTGCCAGGAAAAATAAGGCCATGTGGCCAGGAAAAATGCTCGGCCACCACTGCAGAATATTGCCTGCTGCTCTCAGCTGGAGCAGCAGCAGAGCCCAGGCATTTAATGCAGCTCCCTGCTTGTCCTCTTCTGTATTCCTTTTCCCCCATGGCACCAGCCAGAGTGACACTGTACTGGTGGTACAGGAATGTTTCCACAATCCATTTGCTGCTGTCACAAAGCTTGGCAAACATTTGTTGCTAACAGCAACTATATGTTGGTTTCAAAGAGAAAAAGTAATTTGAAGAGATTGTATCAAAAAAATTCTGATTTATCCTTCCATACACTTTTCCAGATGCTAAGCTATCACTATTCAAAGAAAAAAGCAAGTGGACTGCAGTAAGCACTTCTGTTATCAGAAGAAAGCATTTTCAGATAGTAGATAAAACTAAATCTTATTTACATTCACTTACAGCTGTGATCGTATTGATTTTGTTTTTATGATAAGGAATGTCTTTCATGAATTAGTCTGCTTTAATGTATGAAAGGACTCTATATAAATTTTAAGTCAGTTGATACTGTTTTCTAATGAGAATTTTTGAAAGGAAGTAATTTAGCAAATGTGATCCCAAAACAACAGGAAATGAACAACCCATAGCAGTTCATTTACCAAACATTATATAAATTATATGCTTCTGAATCCAAAAATCAGTACATTATAATACCAAAGATTTACTATTTATTTAATCCCAAAACACTACATGAAAAAATGTAGTCCTTCAGCACTCAAAGACATAGAGGCCAAAACCAGGCATTGACAAAAAGGAAATATTGCTCAGTGCAAAATAAAGGGCATGGTAACAATACATACAGGAAGATTTTTGTGTGGTATGTTGGTACAGAAGCGCTGTCTCTCCTAAAGCTGTGGCAAATCAAGTCATTATTCCAGTTTCTGAAAGCAGCGAGATAAAATACCCTGGCATTCCAAGCACCTGTAACTTGTGTCATTGATGCCCCACGATGACAATAAGTCTGTGTCCTTTCAGAGCTCCAGAGCAAGCTCTGGACTGGGCTCTCAGTGCCCCAGCTGGTGCTGGCACTGCAGCACTGCCAGCAGAGCCTGAGGGGGAGCCTGGCATTGCCCCAGGCAGGCGTGAGTTATTCTGCTGAAGCCACGGCCTCTCCCAAGACCCTGATTCACTGCCCGGAGCAACAGGATTCGTTTGGACAGCAGCAGTGACAAAGGGTTACAGAGTGCAACTTTGAGGATTTTGAGGGATATAAATCCCAATGAATAAAATATTGTAGGAGGGTTGATTTAGGGCTATTAAAATTTCTTCATGATTTTGCATGCATTGTTCAGTATCTGTTATAAATAATTTGCAACACTTAAGGAAAAAGAAAGCGGTTTCACATGGGATCATGTTGGAATTGTGCCATCAGTAAAGCTGAGCTGTGGTATTTGACAAAAAGCCTTGTGTCAAGGCAAACTAATGACTATTGTTTGACAATTAAAGCTCAGAATTTTCAGGCAAAATAATGGACCATTTTTCTTATTCTACATGCATGTTTCACCTCGGCTCAAGAGGTTAATAGAACAAAAATATCCTTTGTTGAAAGATTGCCTTTTTTCTTTTCTCCTTTGGCCTCATTTACATTACTCCTTCACTTTGGTATCTTGTTCTCAGATTAGCTCTTCTTTCTCTTTTTCTTTTGTTTCTTCCCCTCCAGGCCACACATATGCTTTAT